TTTCATGTGCCCAGAGACCAAGTGTGCGTGTGTGTGTGCGTGTGTGTGTGCGTGTGTGTGTGCGTGTGTGTGTGCACCTGCTGTCATTGCTACACTTGCTACATTCTGGACGCTTAAATACCCATGAGACTTGAGCATCCCCACATCCACACACACAAACACACCCACACACACAAACACACAAACACACACACACACTGATTGTGACTTCAGTGAAAAATAGCGCTCATTAATGTTGCTCATTAGCAGCCGCAACGGCTGTATATGTTGCTGCACGTTTCCTTTTGGTCCTTGCTCCTCGCATTTCTTCTCTCCTTTCGGTCATCCCCTCTTCGACCATTCAACGAGTGTCAACTGCCAAATGATTTGCCATTATTTACTAATAAAACTCATCGAGTTTTACCACACGCTCGTCGCGCTAATCGAATGTGCAAGCCAACCCCGCAGCCCCAACCCTTAGCCTACACATGGTCCACCCAGGACGTTTTCTCCTGGTGCTGCCTTGACAAGTTGTCCCAGCTCTGGCAGAACTCTTAATACGTTCTGACTGCACGTTTACCTCACTCCCTCCCCGCCCACCACCCTGCCAAATGACCCCAATCAACAGGACTATCTAACCCAAAGCCTCTACAGGTCTAGCCTGCGCTCTAGATTTAGGCGCTGGGCACGTTAAGAGTTGCCCATCAAAATATCTTAAAGTAATACAGATACTTTTAGCCTGGTTTTTTGGTTCTTGATCTTCAATGCTTCAGTTCTTGGCAATATGGTTAATTATAAATAACAGCTGAACAGCTGAAGAGCTGAAAGCTGTTAACAGACATCCTCTACTGTTAACGCACAGCTGTTTAACAGCTGTTAACAGTAAGACTGTTAACATTAGACTGTTAACATTAGTCGAGCTGCCGTTACATAAGCTCCTGTTATACTTAACAGCTACTCAAACATGTTCTCTAACGTTAAGCTCGTCTAAATACTTTTTAAATCTTTGACATGGAAATAGAATTGAAATACTCATAAAAATGAATTATCCAAAAACAGAGCTTTCAAATCGAATGAAGGAATTTAACGCTCGTTCGGCTTAAGGTTTGAACCAGCTATCTGCATTTGCAACCAAAAGTATTTCCGATACAATTTTAGTTCATCTTTAAGTAAACTCTAGAAAATCTTAGGAAATATAAACTTTTACACCATCTGCAACTATAAGTTGACTTTATTTCGATAACATTGAAAAGAATCAAAAGTCATCCAAAAAGTAACATATTCTAGATATTGCTTATCTCTATATAGAAAACGGACTGACTGATTAATTGGTGATCAACGCGCAGCGTAAACTGTCAGTTGTAGGGAAATTCCACCCGCACGTGTGGAAAATTCGTGAAAAACGTTTGTTTGAGACTTTTTTGTTTACCATCCATCAATTTGGCATCTGAATCTAGCAACATTATTCTTGGCCAAAATGCATGTGAAAATGAAACCCTCAAATACCCTATATGGACATTCATAGGTCGAATTTTCCCACCCCGGTCAAATCCCATCCAATTTCCACGAGGTTTGGGAAATCCTTATATAAAATCTAGGAAATCGTAAGAAGAATAAACTTTCTTTAAGCCGATGAAACAGAACGTATCCAAAAAGTGATATAATCTAGATAACGAAATTATTCATCTTTGTCTCAAAGTTTCTTCAACTTGAAGCTTAAATTTATTTCGAAAACATTTACGTTTATTACACAATCACAATCAATTATTAATTACAATCGCATAGTTAGGATCCATTCAGCAAAGACTCACATACGGAGGATTAATTCGTAGTTTGTTTCGTATTCATAAGGTTTTGATTAATGGGGCGTACGGAACTGCGATTCAAATTCGAATCAATTTGCAACCCTGCGACGCAGACGTCGACTTCGACGTCGACGTCGACTTTCTATTGACGTCAGGTTGATGTGCGGTCCCAAGTGGGAACTCTTGGCTCTTGGGCGGTTGGGCGTGGCCGTTCGGCTAGTTGGGCTGCCATTCAAACTCTTTCGCTTTTGGGTCAGTCTTTGCATTTAATTTCGTTTATTCATTCGAATGGCCACAAAATGACATTTGCATTTGGGCAGCGGTCACTGCCCCATTTCCCAAACAACTATCGGCAGCTCCCCCCCCCCCCCCCCTCCACCACAGTCCCTCCACCCAACCTTCCCCCGTCCGCTATCACTCTGACCAGCCCGAACCACTCATATTCATGTCCCAGCTAAAGGCAGCTGCGGCTCATGGGCTGCACCCCGGGGAGCGCCAAGCAGCTGAGCCTGGACCTGCGGATGCGAATGTGAATGTGAGTGTGAATAGTGAATGTGAATGTGAATGTGATGGTGGATTTCCATGTGGGTTGCGTGCCCTAATCTCATAACGAATGAATGGCACATTTGGCAAATTTGTTTTGACAATTGAGAAGTGAGTGCAAAATTTATGGAACGCCAAAGTGCGAAAAACTATCTATTCAAATTGTGGCCCCACTCACACTCTCCCTGTCTCTCTCACTCTCTCCCTCTCCCTCTCCCTCGCCCTCTCCCTCTCCCTCTCCCTCTGTCTCTCTCTCTCTTTATGTGTGCGCTTGTTTGCCTGCGTAATTAATTCTGTGCTGACTCGGCGATTTGTAGGCCGTGTCACAAAAAGGCACAATTAAATGCACAACTACAACAACAGCCGCACAAATAAATGAGTGTGAGCCGAGCTTTAAAATTGGACTCGACTATTTACATACTCTGGCTTTTGCACTGCCAACCGCTTCTGACCAGTATTGGCAACTGCCGTTGGAAAAAAGTAGCTGAAGACAGTGTTAAAAATTGGCTAAAAATAAAAGCCAAACGACGTAGTATTTGTCATAGATATGTCCAAAAAAAAACCGCTAAACCTGAAAATAGCTGCATTTAGCTATAAACCAGCTAAATTGCCAGCAAGAAAAAAAAGAGTGTTATCGATAGACAAGCTTGATCGATAAACTCTAACATCAAATATTGAAAGAGGAAAAAAAAAGAGTCGAATACAGGCAACAGAAATTCGATTCATTTTAATATTATTTTACACAATTAAAAGCTGGCTAGTTATTCGAGCATATACTCTGAGCTGATGATTTGTCAAACATGATCATAAACTGAAGTGCAGGGTATTGAAATGAAATACTAGAAGGACGCAAGCTGACAGTACGAAATATTCCGTCGATGTTCTAATGACATTCATTAAAAGCATATCCACTGTAAACACCTGTTTACAGGGTATCATAATGCAACGAACATGGCTAGCAAACTGGGCACATGGCATTTGGGATGCTGCTGATGCCATAACTGTTGCCCGTTGCCGATTGCCGGTTGCTGTTGTCGTCGCCAGCGCCTTGGCCAATGTGGCCAAAAAGCAATTAGCAAAGTTTTCAGCTGCCGTCGCCGATGCCAGCGGACCAGCCAGCCAGCCAGCCAGGACAGACGAACAGAGGGCAGTCCGGCTGTCTGTAGCTGCCGAGTTGGGGCAGCAGCAGCCACTGTTGCCACTCGGCTGCTGCTGCCCCAACTATTCGACCGCCCATCATCAATCTGCTGCAGTTGCCACACCAGCAACACGCCCCTCCTCTCCCCTGCTCCACTATAGCAGGCACTGCACCTACGTGCGTCGAAGACCAGGCGCGACCATCCTTCATTTCCAATTATTCATGGATAATCTAACCCAAAATGGGACGTTAATTACGGGCGCATGTCACTGGCACTATGCGCCGGCCGGCATGTCCCCAACCCCCTCCTCTGCAGATCCCAACCCGCCAGTCCAGTCCACCTCACAGATCCCAACCGTTGGCGACACTCAGCTGAGCTGATTGCAACATATAAACTAAATACTTATTCGCCATGCTGGTAGCTGGCCCACCGAAACGCGAGGTTGGCTCAAAGGGTATACTATGTAGCTGATATACCCTATCAACTGACATTATGTATCTGGGAATTCAATACTTTTTCTCAGCTAACATGCAACATATTTGCCATTTCGGGCTGATTTGCCTTATAGCTTAATAGGCTGACTTTCTACATGCAAGACTTCAGATAGTATTAGTTTTATTATTCTTTTATATATTTTTTTCACAGCATTTAGTTGCTTGAAAACGCTTTTGACCAATGATTGACTATTTCTTGAGCGACTCTCGTGCATTTCAACACTTCTGCATTGTGTGATTAATTAAGCAGCAAATGTTGCCAAGAAAAAAATGCAATTCGCTGTTTTTGACAACTCTGAACCTGTCGCAGGGGTAAACACAGCCACCTATTTAATTGTAAGAAAACTATGCTGGCCGGAACTTTAACTATGTCCAATTCAAAGAGTGCATTAAAATTCGTGAATATAAGTAAAAGGAGTATTTTCAGATGAACAAGAACCAGGCAGTTAACTTTTAAGCACTTGAAAGCTCTTAAAAAATCATTAAAAACCAACTTGAAACCCTAAGAGTCAAATGTTTTGATATTTGACAAGAATTTTGACATAACAATTAGATATAATGCTTATTTTAATCGTAAGCAACATATGTATCTTGAATTTTCAAATAATTCAAAAAAAGGTTGTTTTCCCAAATGAGTAACGACATTTTTAAAAGAATTGTAAACATTTGCATAACATTTTAAGAGGAATACTTGAAAACTAACAGATCCTATTTGAAATTTACATTTAAAATAAAAACCGCGCTCAATTCAAATTTGAATATCAGTTATAAGGCTGACCAAAGCTTTTGCAGCAAATATCTGGTCACCCTAAAGACGGTTGTACACAATGTGTACGCAGCTCAGTGCCATGACTGCAAGCAGTTTTGCAGCTGAGCTGCCCGACTTTTGTCTAGCCGACCACCACATCTGAGCAGCGTACATGCCTAGAGTTCACAGTCAGTTTCTAGGCTGACCATAGTTTTTTCAACAAGAAATCTGGCCACCTTACGTTGGCTAAACAGCTGTTCACAATTGATACGCAGCTCAGAGCCACTGCTGCAAACAGCTTTGAGGTAGAACAACTATCTCTGCCGTTTTGCTTAGCCTTGCTTTGCCTGCACAAGTGAGCAGCGTACAGGCCAGCAAATATCATTTATACGCAAACCGAATTTGCCGGCGACACACTGTGTTCACAGACTTTTCGAGGCGATGTCAAACATCGTGCAGTATATTGTGGTGCGAAGCGATTTGCGCTCTACCTTGAACTGGCCACTGGGCGCGGTGATCGCGCAATGCTGCCATGCGACGGCGGCGGTGATGAGCGTCCATGTGGAGGACGAGGAGACGCAAGCGTATCTCAAGGATCTGGACAATATGCACAAAGTGGTGCTGGAGGCCAAGGATGAGGCGGCGCTGTTGAAGCTCAGCGAGAAGCTAAAGGAGCACGAAATCAAGCACAAACTTTGGATCGAACAGCCGGAGAATATACCAACGTGCGTGGCAATCAAGCCCTACGTTAAAGATGTTGTCCACAAATATGTAAAGCATCTGAAACTATTGAAGTAAACCCACATGCTGATCTGATGCCAATCTATAGCATAATCCCAGCTAGCATTTAGGTTTCAATAAATCTAAAAAGTTTGTAATACAATGCAATCAGAACTTCTATGTGTTTTGTGCCTCAGATATATAACTATATATTCTTACAGACAACTTGGCAAATCCAGAACCAATCGAGAACTGGACGAGCAGAAAAGCCAACTAAGCATCTGTTCCGTGGAAGCTCTCAGCAAAAGCAGCCGGAATTAGCTTGGCATAAACCTTAATGAAATATCTTATTGACGGACGTTGACCAAGCAGACCAAAACCTATCCCTGACCATAATCTTGGAAGCTTAGATGAATAGCCTAGATGGACACAAAGGCTGGACCTTACTTTTGTATGCCCTTGCAAAGAGTATGACGATTTTATAAAGAAATATGTAAGGCATAGAAGAAGACATCTTCGATCCCTTTAAAGTATATCTTCATGTATTAGCCCAAACCATTTTGTACCTTAAGTGGAGAATGCGCAGAAACGATTGTTTGCTGCTTTTTGGCTCTTCCATCGCCCAAAAACTCATTTCCAAAGCAATTTCACTTGACAAACCAACGTTCCGCGTCTTCAAATGGGAATCAAAGATTAGAAAAGCGAAGTTTTGGCTTTAAACTCACATCTACTTGGGTATCAAAGATTAAATGGGCATATACTTCTTTCCAAAGTCCTACCAAACATATCATTAACTGAAATCGTTCAGAAATTGCGAGCTGCTCTCTTCACACTAGAGTAAGGACTGCATTAAATGGAACACTATATTATCGAACTTCTACTGGAACAAGCACATCGTTTAGTCTAGAAATATGTTGCTTCTCAGCTCTATATATATGTATCTATCCCAGAATTAATGAGAAATTAAGTCTGATATCATAAATAATGATAATGAGTAGAAACTTATCTTAAGATTTCCAAGTTCTAAGAACCAAAAAGAAGAAATTTATTTTAAAAATTGTATAGCCAGGCTAGATTACCATTCTATAGAGAGTATAACCTGGACTGTCTACACATTGTTAATGATAAATAATAAAACATTATGCAGTAATATTTTAGATTTAAATGAAACTCTGTTACAATTATATTCCAATAATCAGCCTTTCAATCAACCGATTGTTCCCATGCCACTTTATGGCATGGCAGCTGAATGCCCGCTCGAATAGAAAACAGGCTTTACATGGAATGAAACAGGACAGCGAAACTAACTGTAAAAGAGTAACTCCCTCAATATATATACGGGTATGTATGTATATTGGTTTGGCAGCTTGCTCTTAAATTATAATAAAACAAGCGGTTTCTTTGTCAATAACTTAAATATTTATATAGATTGGGCTTACATCATGATTTTAGCTAAGTCGGGTGTGTGGGCCCAGCCGTTGGTTTTACATATATATATATCTATATATATATATAAAGTTATCATAATATTTATTAACAGTTAGTGGGTAAAGCGCTAGAAATTCAAATACTTTTCCAAACAAGTAAATTGATAATATATTAAAAAAAAAAACAATGCAAAATCAAACAAATTTCGTTTTAAAACTTAGAGCAAACAATTATCTAGATGCAAGCATGCTAATATATATATATATATATATATATATATATATATATATAGTTATATATTTATATATATGTATATGTTGATTGATGCGGATTTTACAAAAAAAAATATTTGTAATATTTGTTTTAGTTGTTTTTTTTCTGTTTGTGGCTTAGAAAACGAATTTGTTGATATCGATTAAAAGTGTAAATGGCCAATAGTCGGACCGATGTGTGCTTTGCATTTGAATTGACTTAGGTTTCTAGTTGGGATGGGGCGTCAGTTTCTTTCTTATGAATTGCTCAAAATTGCTGCGATACAATATCTTTGGATGCTCCTCGGTGGCATGCTCGTCCACCTGCAGTGTGCTCGTCCATTTCCAGAGCTTGCGACGCGAATAGCTGTGCCGGAACGAGGAGAATACCTCGTTAAAGCGATGCGGTTCGATTTGTTCCTTAAACAGTGACTCCTTGGTATTGGTATTATAATAATAGATCTGCTGATGTGATCTGGAATAGGCTGTCACAAAATTGACGGCCAGTTCACAGAATATGATAATGCCGCCGGGCACAAAGAATTTCTGATCGTCGAGCAGATAGCCGAATCTCTGTGAATTATCCTTGAGCACATAGGGACGCATCTCGTTAAAGAAACGGCTCATATCCTGCAGCCGAAAGATGGGCTTGCAGCGTATCGCACCGCATGTCCGCTCCTTCTTGTGCGGCTTATTCAAACTGCGCGCATACATGGCACACATGCCGACCCGCTCGAGAAATGGCCGTCGCCGTATATCGATGCCGCCCAAACAGATGGCATCCATGATGTGCAGCGCCGATACACTCTGCGATGTGCGTCCCTCGCCGCTATATTCGAACACAATCTCGCCAAAGAATATGGAGCGCGGCTGTACATTGAAACTGGACTCGACCTGTTCCCATTTTCTGTGCTCCGTATAGCGCAGCAAATTGCCGCGTGATTTGCATAGGAAGAGCGTACAGCCGTTAATATTTATTTCGCCACGTCCAATGGGCATGAAATGCCAATCGCTTACGTTCAGTATATCGGTGTGCAATGGCGCAACGCCTTTTAGCTCCATGGCCGGTATGTGTAGCCAGTTGCGATCATTGGACCAATCTCGCAATAGCTCCTCCAGCAGACGTTCGGTGGTTTTCACTTCCGGCGCCTGGCGCAGCTTATCGGGCAGTGCCCAACATTTGAGGCACTCCTGTCGCACCTCCGACTGTCTAGCCTCCTTAAGTTCCAGATTTTGGGCAAATGCCGCTATCTTGTGCAGGCCAACAATCTGTTTGTTGCCAATCGCATTGTTCGAATCAATAATATAGCGTAGAAAATGCTCATCCTGTAGCATCTCATTGCGATCGAACAGCTCAAGTACATCGATTTGGATTTGATGTTCCTTATTTTCGCTCTCCTCGTTCAATATCTTATTGACCATGTTCATATAGCTAACGATTGCCTCTGTGTCCGCCAGCTTATATTTGCATACAATATAACGCTCCGAGTTCGCTGGCCGACTGCTATTTGGTTTGATAATTGCGATTTGCTGGAAGCACTTGTACATCAAATAGACAAGACTCACGCTGAACGGCGTGAACAGATCAAACAGTTTGCATACAAAGCTGCCATTGATGCGTAGTATTTTGAGGGCGGTAACAAATTGGCATAGATACAGCTGCTTGGATAGTATCTCTTGGATATTCTCTTGTCCTTCCACAGAGAAACCGCCATCGGCCATGGCAAAGTGTACACCTTGCGGCGTATGCTTTCGTATATAATCATTCAATGAATCCTGATTGCTCTGATCGAATATATTGCCATCTTCCTTGATGCCATAGTACGTATCAAATGATTCCGGTGAGGCGGCAAAGAATTTATCTAGCTTAAAATCGTTGGTGCCGCGTAGCGTAAAGCCAAATCCTTTGGCCTTCCACGATTTGCGATATAGCACATATTCAGAGAAGCCGCCGGGTCCTGCATGATAGTAGACATAAATGTGAATATTATAAATAGCATAATATTATATATATATATATATATATGTATGCACACAAAAACCAACCCGCGCACATGTCCGCAAAGTAGAGGAGCTCATTTGTGCCGATCAGCGAATTGCCATGGGAATCTCGGGGCTGTGTGAACATATAGTCGCACATGGAATCAATGTTGGCCATTTTGACGGCGGCACGATTTAGAAATATGGAGCTGCGTATTGTCTCGAACGGATTGCATCGGGAGCGTGCACGTCGCTTTTCCGTATCGCTAAGGTCATCGAACACGGTCTTCGCATTTAGGATGTGCTGTAAAATCTCTGGATCACAGAATTGCGTCTCATCGTCAAGGGTGAGCTTACGTGGTCCGGTTATCATGTGCCCCATCAGCTGTTCCAATGTATAGGCGCCGCAATTGTCACCCATTTGATTTAACCAAATCACTGGCTCTGGTATTTCCAAATCCTCACAGCTCGGATCCCATTTGCCGGCAGACCAATGGACGGTACTCAATTTTAGGCCAAAGCCACGACGTCCATCCTGCTGCACGGCAATCACTGGCTCTAAGCGGCCCTGTTTGCTCTTACCCAGACCCTTGTCGTCCTCATAACCCATTTTCTTCATCATGCCCATGGCCTTGTTCGAATAGCAATAGCTATTGAGCCAATCGCGCTTGATCTTCTTTGGCGTTGGCTCAAAGTTCTCATCGTCCGATGGCTCCTCCATTTTTGCTGCCAATTTTTCCTTTACGCTGCACAGCTAAATTGTTTATGATTTGGATTTTTTTTATTTTTTTGGTATTGGGGCTTGTGTTGCTGCTGTTGTTGTTTTTGTTGTTGTTGCTGCTGCGACCCTCTCAGCTTGGCGTTTTTTTTAGCGACGGCAGTCAACGATAACATTTTGTTGGCCCCAAATGTTGGCGTTTATTGTGAATGGCAAAAAATAAAAAATTCCGTTTATCGATAGTTGTGTGTATTCAAATTGTTTTTTCGGTGTAAATTTTGTATTATTGGACTTATCATAAATATTTATTTAATAATTAGATGAATTATAAACGAATTTTGCAAGAGTTTGAGCACATCTACATTTTCTCATAGGTTTCGCTGTAAGGGCAAGTCGTGCAGGAATGAGTATAATTGTCTTCCAACTCATTGTAAGTATCTGGCCCAAATTCATGTTCATGCACGGCCGTTGTTTTCTTTGTATAAATACTACTTCTGACCTCCATGCGCAGCTGCTTCATTTGTTTATTGAATTTGCGCGTCTTGCCCAGCACACGCTTATCCTCGCGCTGTTCATGCTGACGCATCAGCTCCTCCTCACTGCCCCACACATCCATGGCGCGCTGCAGCACCTGTAGATGCAAGTATAATTTCATTTCGCCCCAGCGCACATTGTGCGGATTCTTGCGGCTTATATAGCGCAGCACCGGCTCACGCTTATCAAAGTCACAGTCCTTCAGTAGATATTCCGCCTTGGCCTCGGTGCGCGTAATCAGCGAGTGACGCTCCTCGGTGTCCCGGCACTTGTCGCAAACGGAGTAGTCAAAATTATTGAACAGATAGGAGTCGGCATACTGATCGCCGCAGTCCAGGCACTCCTCATACACCACCGGTATGGCAATGGCATCCTCAATGATGGGCGCCACAGCCGGCTCCTCTGTTGATTTGTTTGCCGTGGCCAGCACAGGCTGTTCCAATAGGAAGCCGCCGCCGCTGTCAATGTATTTGGTGCCCTGCACTTTAATTACCGGATTGTTTTGGCCAGCAATTGGCTGCTCGCCATTGGCATTAGCGCTGCAATCCACAATTCACAAAATTAAGATTGCCATCGGAATATTTGCTTGTTTTACATACTTTTGTAGATTCTTGTAGGGATGCGAGACCAGCTTGGCTTCCCTCAGTTTTTGGGCCTTGGCTTGATTGCGCTCGATGCGCGCCTTTTGTGCATTTGTCAGCTTGGAGCTGCTGGCTCCACTGATGCTTGCAGCTTCAGTTGTTTCATTTACTGTTTCCTCAGACATTTTCAATATTTTAGCGCAAAAACATTTCACACGATTTTGTAAATTCCATAAACGTTCTTCTTCTTTCAACTCTAGCAGTCGCCAAACGACTTTGGTATTTTAACTGGTATTTTTAATAGCACTATTCCGAGTATTCGAGTACGTGAAAATACGCGGATTTTTTGAAAATATTTTTCATATATTCTTGATAATCGATATATGTCAAAAACATATTACGCGTGGCAAGCTATATACAATATATTGCATAAAAGCAATTGCCTTTACTTAAAAATAACACAAATTTAATTTAACTTATTTCTTGTGAAGAAAATAATTTTAAATATTGCGCACAGCTGTATTTGCCTACCTACGCCATTGATTAAATCTATCGATAGGTCGCGTGATTCGATATCTACTATAGCACAACATTCTTGATAGCGACATATCGCTGGTTTTGTTATCGCTGGTTTTGTTATCGCTAGTAACCATCGCGCAATGTTAAAAAAACATTACAAATTGCTACTAAAATGTGCACTAGCCATACCGATTATCTTTCTGCTGGACTTTTGTGGCGTTCTGACGCATCTGTACGAACTGGACTTTGAGACGCACTACTACTATCCGCTGGACAATGCGACCGTCACACCGCCGGACTACAAGTTCCTACAAATGCCCGCATTCATGGGCGATCGCGACCAGGCGGATCCGCCCCGACTGACCATATTGGTGAAGAGCGCCATTGGCAATCTGCAGCGACGCCAGGCCATACGCAAGACATGGGGCTACGAGGCGCGCTTCTCGGACGTGCACATCAGGCGCGCCTTTGTGCTGGGCTTGCCCGCCGAGGGCAGCGGCAGCAAGGATGCGGCCCAGACCGAGGCCAAGCATCATGGGGACATAATACGCGCCGACTTTGTCGATGCGTATTTCAATAACACAATCAAGACAATGATGGGCATGCGCTGGGCCAGTGAACATTTCAATAGCAGCGACTTTTATCTATTCGTGGACGACGACTATTATGTGTCCATTAAGAATGTGCTGCGCTTTCTGGGCAAAGGTCGACAGACCCATCATCAGAGCCTACTATTTGCCGGCTTTGTATTCCAGAGCTCTCCACTGCGACACAAGTTCAGCAAATGGTATGTGTCGCTCGAGGAGTATCCGTTTGACAAATGGCCGCCGTACGTGACGGCTGGCGCCTTTCTATTATCACGGCAGGCCCTGCTCAAGATGTATGCGGTGGGGCGTACTCTGCCGCTCTTTCGCTTCGATGACATATTTTTGGGCATGGTTGCGCTCAAGGCGCATATACCCGTGCATCGCTGTGATGATTTTTACTTTGACAGGCCCACATACTATGGCCCGGATAGCTACAGTGATGTCATTGCCTCGCACGGCTTTGACGATCCCGTCGAGATGGAGCACATTTGGAATGAGTGTCGCTCGGCGAATTATGCGTAGCGTATGGAACTCAAATGGCAATATTTTAATTGTTGATACTATTGGGGCGTGCTATTAGATATACAACTGTTTATAGTATATAGTATATACCTGAAAACCGAGCCTTATTAAAGTAATATTTATATACTTAGTGTAAGCTATTTAAATGTTAACGGCTTGCCGATTGTGCACGCTACACAAGCAATACTTAAACTAAGCGAAATACTACCTTAATTAAAGAAAATACCGCACATTTTGGCGAGCATTCAAAAATGCGCATACGTTATATGTTCACAGAATAAGAATACAAACAAATATCAAGTACACGCCGCTAGTGCCTATCGATTTGATATCGAACGGCAATGATCGCTGTACGCGATTAGAGCAGCGCTGTGTGCACGCATTCGATAAATGCTATCGACAACAACTTTGCGTTCTTTGAAACAGCCCCAACATCATTTCGTACGCCTTCATCTTTTTGATTTGAACAATTGTCGCGCAGTATTAAGTTGTGTGTCGTTCCGTTTGCTTGTAAGCTTTCGCGATATAACACTAATCTAGTAGCAAGTGTCAAATTTGCCAAGTGCTTACACTTCTATCTATATATTCATCAATATATATATATATATATATTACAACCACCCAACCAGTCAACTCACCCACCCGCATTTATTTTTTTGGAAAGTGCGCAATTCTTTTGCCATTAAACCAAACCCTCAAGAAAGCAAAGCAAACTACAAAAAAAAAAAACAGCACAAATTTAAGGTGAGTTTCAGACAAATTTTTGCAATTTTCTGCTTTTTTTTTTTGCACCGGCAATTTTTTCACTTCCAATACTTTGCTACGTTTCGTATTTTTTCATTGTTGCAGAAAGTAGGGGGAAAAAAAACTGCGACTAAGAAAAAAAGATCTAAATCGCTGCTGCAAAAGCCAACGCCAACTGGTTTCCCTCTGCTGCTGTCGCTGTCGCTGCTGCTGCTGCTGCCGCTGTTGTTGCTGTTGTTCTTCTTGTTGTAATTGTGGCTGCGCTTCATTCCCATTCATTGCAAATGTTAGCGAGAGCCAAAGAGGGCCTCCTCTTTACATTTGTTATAAATTATTTATTGTGGCGGCCGCCGTCGCTCCGTTAGTTTTTCCTTCTTTTTTTTTCAGCTATGTATTTGGGCAGCTGTTCAGTGGATGGCCTTAAGCTTCTTTGTTTGATTTTTTCACTTCTTTTTTTTTTTTGTTGTATTAGAGCTTTTTGCCGGCCGGCTTTTCGTTTTTTGGCGTCTGCTTTGCGTGTGTGTCTGTATCTATGTGAGTGTGCGTTTGCCTCTGTGTGTGTGTGTGTGTGTGTGTCTCTGCGACGGCTGCTGCTTGGGCGGGGCGTTTGACGCTGTTAAATATCCTCCCCACAGTGTGTTCTTGTGGCTTGCGCGTGCTCACATGCACGTACTGAATACACATGCATATACATATCTAAGTATACTTGAATGTGTGCAGCTGTGCATTTAAGCTGCATTCGTTGTTCAACGTGTCTGTGTGTGTGTGGCTGTCGCAAATTTTTCTTAAGCGAGGGCGTGGCGCACACAAGCAGATGTTATCGATAATATCCAATTGGCATTGAATTTATCGCTGTACGCAGAATGCAAAAGATATTCAAAAAAAAAAAATGAACTAACAGACAGCGACATATGCATGTGTATGTATGTTGTATATACAGCTTTGTGTGCATGTTTGCGCATGAGTGTGCGTCTGCGAATGACTAAACTGCGTTGTCGCTGCTGTGCATATTTAAAATTCACTTTGTGTCGCGGGCGCATATGTGCTTTGTATGTACATGCATACATACGCACATATTTTTAAATGTATGTATCGACTGGCAGACGTGCACTGCACATGTGTGCGCGCGCGTGTGTGTGTGTGTCTGTGTGTGTATGCGGGCATAACAGGAGCCATCGCAGTCTGTCGCCCCGTCATCGTCTCTGCAGCTGCTGACTGCGGCGAGGGTGTAAAACGGACGTGTCTGTCATTTGCCTTCCTTCTTTTGTTCTCTACATTTTCTGCTTTCGCTTCAACGAATTAACGCCCCCGCCTCGCCTGCAGTACTGCGCCGTCGCGCCACGCGTCAGCGACGCCGACTGCGACGGTTTTTTTAACATTTGAGCGGCCTTCTTGACGACGCATTCAAATGTCAAAATTGGCCTAACGGCATATTGGCGGTTTGCTGGCGCCAGCCAAATGAACCCCTACTTCTCCCCACTCGAACACACGATTCATAGCAACATAAGCCCCAAAAAAAGAAATAAAACACACAAGATATCAAATTAACAAAACAAAAGACAGCCACAAAATCAAAAGAAGCAATTGAAGCGGAGTTTGAAAAGCTCTCACCGAGGCGCAAGAGTTCACGAGTGAAAGAAAAAGAGAGAGCCCGCGTCAAGTGTGGGCTGAGACAAAAAGCAGCGGCGACGGCGAATAAAATGATTCATCGCGACCATAATTCGCTTCAAGTTGGAAGTTGATTCATGGCAAACAAGGCGAGAACATGCAAACTACTCCCCCCGAAACAACAACAACAACAGCAACAACAACATAATTCGCCGTATATGTACATATGTACATACATACGTATTGTCTGCGTTGCAATGTTCGCCTTTGTTTTGAGTTGGAAAAGGAGTTGCTGGAATGACTAAACGCTGCTGGGGCCCGAGCCGGGCCGTTAGTCAATCAGCGTCTATCGGCCAGGGGCGATTACGAAAGCGGCGTTTAGGCGCGCCTTAACGTGGCCATATATGGTCAATAAAATACAGACGGCTATCAAGCGTAGATTTATTTTGTATATGTATATAGATTTTTATTTTATTTTGGCGCGGTTGCCGCCCTTGTAACGCTTGCCGTGTGCAATTCACGGATACACACACACACACACACATGCATGCATGCATGCATTGCATATGTATGCACTTGTTATCGATATTAATGAAGCGCTTTCTTTATGTGGGCAAACAAAATTGGCTTTTGACTAAAGGGTGTGGTGTGGGCCAAGAGGGGGGTACACTAGGTGGAGGGGGGGTATTGAAATGAAATATAACCGACAGCCCAGCTACGTTGCGATCGATCTATTTCTTATGAAGTTAATACATGGAAACTTTTGCGCTCATGTGTTGAATGTTTTTTTTTTTTTTATTTTGTTGATATTTTGTCGATTAGCTAGAATACGCGCACGAACAATGGGCAAGTAGCTGGCACATTTTGGCTGATTTGCAACTAAAAATAAACGTGATAAAATGCAGTTTATAATTGTTAGCAGCAAACGGCGACTAACAAAACAAGCGCTGATAACGGTACACTCGCCTCCAGTTGCTTGTCCAATTGGAATTTAATCTGCTGCTGCTGCGGTAGGTTCGCTGAACTTTTTGCTCACGCTCTCTCTCTCTCTCTCTTGCTGTCTTTGCCTTCCTCTTGTATTTCTGCTGGTATTTCGATAGCGGACGCACACACACACACGCATGCACAGCTACTCACTCCGTATATGTGTGAGTGTGCGTCCTTGTTGTCCAGCATGACTCATTCGCCGGCATGACAAATTTTGTATGAGTATGTTGCTTTGTGTTTTTGTTTCTTAATCAATAAGTCGCCTTTCAAAGTAATCGCTATGAGAAATCGCATAATGCATCGTACGGTAAACAACGAAACAATTCTCAAAACGAAATCGAAGACGTGCATGCATTGTGAGTGTGTGTGTGTGTGCGCTTGCTAGGCATCGTTATCGATGCGCATTTCCGCTTTATCGAGCCTTTGTCCATTGTTGCGTCGTTATCGATAACTGGGCCTTTGTTTTATGTCGATTGCGCGTTTTTTGAATTGTCAACATAAAATTGTAACGTGATGATATTTTCTTCTTTTTTTTTGGCAGATGGCTTCCCCAGCACCAGCACTCAAGGATTTGCCAAAGGTGGCCGAGAACCTGAAGAGCCAATTGGAGGGCTTCAACACAGAGAAACTGAAGAACGCCAGCACCCAGGAGAAAATCATTTTGCCCACTGCCGAGGGTAAGTATAGTCAACTAGCCTAGCCAACTGATAAAGTTGTGTTGGCAAAAATAATTGAAATTGAATCAATATTTTTGTTCTTTCTTATTATTGTTACGTGTTGCGTGTTGCGTGTGCACAGATGTGGCCGCCGAGAAGACTCAAAAGTCCATTATTGAGGGCATCACCGCATTCGATCAGACCAATTTGAAGCATACGGAGACCCATGAGAAGAATCCATTGCCCGATAAGGAAGGTGCGTATAGACAGAGCGCAGCGCTCGGCATGCACAGCACATGCTCCGTGTGACCGGCCATGTGGCTAGACCAGCTCCGCCATTTAAGGCAATTGCAACTAATGTGAACAATTTAACGAATTCTTCTCTCCCTCTCTCCATCTCTCTCTCTCTCTCTCTCTCTCTCTCTCTCTCTCTCTCTCTCTCTCGCTCAGCAATTGAACTGGAGAAGGAGAAGAATCAATTCATTGCCGGCATCGAGAACTTTGATGCGAAAAAATTGAAGCACACCGAAACTAACGAGAAGAACGTGCTGCCAACCAAGGAGGTCATCGAGGCCGAGAAGCAGGCCTAAAGCAGCATATATACATTTTTTTTTTTTTGTTTTTTGGGCAAACAAGCATTCAGCATTTGCTAACTACGACAATGCGTCGCAACTCTCTCTCTCTCTCACTCACTCTAGCTCTTTCGCTCACTCACTCACATTCAGCTTTTATAAATTTTTTGTGTATGTTTTTTTTTTTTTCTTTCTTTCTATATATTCATAAAATTTAGTTCATCATTTTTTTTTTTGTGTTTTTGTTCATATAAAGAGAAAAGCAACATGTAATATGAGAAGCAACGACTGCAAACAGCCGCCATCCAATATAAGCAAACGTTCCACAACAACAACTGCAACAACAACAACAACAACAACAACAGCAACTATTGCAACTAAATCCAGTGGCTACATCAATGCCACAGCTGAGACAATGTTGTGCATGCGTCATTCGCGTCATTCGCGACATTCGTCAATGGAATCGTAGCTGCTTTTTGTTGTTGTCGTTCTGATTGTTGTTGTTGCAAGTTGTTTTTTTTTTTTTGCCAAGTTGATTTCCAAGTCTTGTCAAATATGCATTTGCAATAAATAAGCGAATTAAAGCTCATTCCTACTATTAAAAAAAAAGGCGCATATAAATAAATTCACGCTAATCAATAAAGACACATGCAATACAGACACTGAAATATTTGCTTACTTTATAACTTAGTATATCTTCAATGTACTTTTTAAAAGACACGATGCTACGCACGAAGATGAAAACAAAAACAACAACAACAAAAAGAAAAACGTTTTTTAAACAATTGAAATTAACTATGCAAAAATATGCGACGAGATGCAAACGAGATACCATTTATATAAAAACTTAATGAAAAAAAAAAAGAAGCAAACAAAAACAAATGCAAGCGAAAAAAAGAAAAAAAACCATAAAGAGTATGTGTAATTTTTTAATGAACTTTTTTTTATATACTTTATATACGATATATTTATACTGGGAAAAAAAAACTAAATAATAAAAACCATAAATGTAACATTTTATAACAAAATTGTACGCAAAGCTTTTTCTAATAGGGACTTTTGGGCACTTTTCAGCGAAAAATCGTTTGGTAAACAAGCCTCAAGTGAAAATTAAACTCTCAATTGGGTTTTCAGGGATTTTAGATCGAATTTTGAACAACTGGAACAACTCTTCGTTGAACCGAAACCCAAACCTGACCACATATTTGTCAACAATCTTTTGATTGATGAGACTTGAACAGAATATATTTCAATGGTTAGTTAATCAAGGTTTTAAGCAAAGCTCTAGTAACAAAAGACGTGACTTTGGATATAGAATCGAACCAGCGACATCTTTAATGCTGGCTTTAAGTTGTCATCTATATGGCAAATGTATTTATACCTTAAGTTAAAATGTTTAGAGCAAATGGTTAATTCAAGGTTCTAAACGAAGCCCAAGTAACAAAAGACGGGACTTCGAAATAGTGAATCGAACCAGCGACATCTTTTATGCTGGCTTCAAGTTGTCATCTATATTTGGCATATGTATTTATACCTTAAGTTAAGCTTGAAATGTTTAGAGTAAATGGTTAATTCAAGGTTCTAAACGAAGCCCAAGTAACAAAAGACGGGACTTCGAAATAGTGAATCGAACCAGCGACATCTTTTATGCTGGCTTCAAGTTGTCATCTATATTTGGCATATGTATTTATACCTTAAGTTAAGCTTGAAATGTTTAGAGTAAATAGTTATCAAGATTTTAAGCAAAGCCCGATTAAAAGACGTGACTTTGAAATAGTGAATCGAACCAGCGACTTTTTTTATGCTGGCTTTAAGTTGTCATCTATATGGCATATGTATTTATACCTTAAGTATTAAACCAGCTGTGCTGGAACTGTACAATTATAGACGTTTGATAATCAGGTCCATATTTATTTTTATTGCACTCTTACGTGGCATACATCCGAACTGTTTATGGTTCTATTTTCATTTGTATTTTTCTGTGCGTTTGTCGCAATAATAGCCAGCTGGTATCGGAGCTATGATTAGACCTTGGACAGGTCACAGGCATTTCGGACATGCTAACGCCTAGATATCTGCCTTGAGAGCCCAGCTATGGGCAGGCCAAGGTCATCGCAGCGGGACAGTCAAGGCCTGGCGTAATGAGAGCTTTGAAGTCAGAGAGAAACGATAGACTCAGCTGGTTGCAATACACAATAAAGTTATTGTTCTGATCCAGTTAACTGAGCTCATTTCGTTAGATAACTGGCTAAACCAAAGCCTTCGAATGGCTGATTGAATATCATTAAATGTCTAGGGGACTTTCACACAATCGTTTTCCGCCAATTTACCACTGTTTCGGGTGGAATTTCCCAAATCGATTTCAATATATTCTTATGTAGAGCTTTGAAAATAGGTTTGAAGCAAATCGGGACATAACTTAAAAAATCTTTGAATCGCATTTCTACCGAAGAAGTTTGGATTCTACGAGAAGTGTGAAAAACGTTTCAAATCATGTTTTATATAGATCCTTGCAAATGAATGTGAGGGCGAAACGTTACCCAACAAAGGGGGAATGCATTTTTTCATAGATCTTTGAAAATGTTTTTGTAGCCGGATCGGATGGTAAACGAAAAAGTTGCATGCAAACGTTTCTCGCGCTTTTTCCACAGGTGCGGGTGGAATTAGCCGAAACCCCGTCACGTAAGGTAACTAAAGTGAAAATTCAGTCAGTCAGTCCGTCAGTCAGACAGTCAATCACGACAAACAGTTATATATATAGAGATATTGATTGATGCTATGGCTATCAAAGTTGGCCTGCCGCATGGACCCTGATTGAAGCAAAGAAGTTAGGGCAAAATCGAGTAGGCCTTGACTTTTAACTTAATTTATAGCAAATTTACGGCCATTTGCAGTCAGTGCTTGAAGTTTGTTCTCTCGACCGTGTTATAAAAAAAATAAAAACAACAAATACTAATAATAATAACAACAATAATAAACAGAGAAGAGAGAGAAGAAAGCTAAGAAAAAAAATAAAAACGAAGCAAATTCAATGTAATATGGAAGATTATAGAAAAAAAACCGAGGTTTTACGTGAAAAGTACAAGGAATATCTGAAACCAATAGTGAGTGCGATTGTCTCGCGATGCTCTTTGCACAATTTGTATTCCGTTTCGCAGGATCCGTTGCGACCACTTGGTCGTGAGCCCTCCGAGCTGATGCCGCCGCCTGGTAAAAAGGTGCAAACTTGCTTTAACCTAAAGGAAAAGTTTCCCAGGGGCGAAGAGCTGATCAGAACGTTGGGCAAACGGACCATGCTTGATAGGCTTGAGGAATATAATCAATTTAAGGTGCCGCTTCAATGCCCATGCCAAGCCATTACCCAAGGCGGCGATCCAGCCAGAAAGAAGAAGCGCGGAATTGGCCCAACCAAGGCTAAGAAACCAAAAAAGGAGCCCCAGCATATCGTATGCTCCGTTAACAATCTGCCCCCCGCCTTTAGCGATCCGCAACCAATATCCCAGCCAACTTCCGTTGACACGATAGCTACCCGTTATACGAATGGCAGCCTGCCGACTGCAGCGCCCGTCGTTAGGAACATCAAAAGGGATAAGGATATAAGCCAGCAGGCCATCACCAGCCAGCGCAAGTACATACGTGCCAAGGCAGCCGAGATTCAAAAGAAGTCCGTGGCCCTGCAGCAAAAGATGGCCAAGCCGAAGGCTAGCCCAACGCCGAGGAAGGCACTGCAAAAGAAGCCAAATGTGGACGAAAGCTTGGGTGGCGTAAAGTTGAAGCGAACTGCCCCAAAGAAGCTACCTTTGCCGAAGAGGCCAGCTGCGTCAAAGAAGGCATCTGCATTGAAGAAGCAGCCAAAAAAAACTGCAACATTCGCTGAGAGCTCATCGTTGCCGGTCACGCCAAGGAAAACGGCTGGCGGGAAATCGAACCAGCTGCCAAATACTTTGAACATGATTGGACCGAGCTCGACGCCAACTACGCCGGGCAAACAATTTATCCCACAACAGATGCAGCAGCCAACGACTCCGACCATGGGAAGAAATACGTGTGGACTGAATACGATGCCAACTACTCCTGGGCAAGCATTTGTTTCGCAACAGTTGCAACAGCCCATAACTCCAACGACGGAAAGGTGCTCCTATGGATTGAATCCGATGCCAACTACTCCTGGGAAGCAATTTATGCCGCAACAACCAACAACTCCGACCACGGGTAGGAGTACGTGTGGAGCAAATTCGATGCCAAATACTCCTGGAAAACAATCTATTCCACAACAGATGCATCAGCCGACATTTGCGACCATGCGACGGAACTCTTGTGGGCCTAACTCGATGCCAACCACTCCTGCCCAGCCCTGTATACCGCAGCAGAAGCAGCAACCAGCAACGCCAACAGATGCAAGTCTATGTGGAATAACAGCCAAGCGAACCAATCCAACAAGGCCGATGATGCCAGCGCAGAAGCCGCTGCAAACAACTACAACCATGGAAGGGAACGCAGGTGCCCCTAATTCCATGCCAACCTTGGCTGGTCAACAATTTGTGCCACAACAGAAGCAGCAAACAGAGACACCAATAGATGCAAGTTTATGTGGCATAACATCCAAGCGAACTAACCCAACGAGGCCGGTGGTGCCGGCACAGAAACAAGCACAAGTTACTCCAGCGATGGGAGGGAGCTCAAGTGGACGCAATTCGAAGCCAACTATTCCTGCGAAATCATTTGTGTCAGAGACGCCAATAGATGGAAGCTTATGTGGCATAACATCCAAGCGAACTAAGCCAACCAGGCCGGTGGTGCCAGCACAGAAACAAATTCATGCTGCTCCGGCCATGGGTGGGAGCTCAAGTGGACGCAATTCGAAGCCAACTTCTGGGCAACAATATGTCCCACAACAGATGCAGCCAGCGAGCTTAAGAGGGAGCTCGTGCGGACCGATTTCGATGGCAGCTACTGCTGGGAAATTATTCGTTCCACAACAGAAGCCACCACAGCTGACAACGCCATCCGATGGAAGTTTGTGTGAACCAACATCTAAGCGAGCTGGTCCAACGAGGAACGTGGTGCCACCGCAAAAGCAGCCACAAACAACTCTAGCCATGGGCGAGAAATCAATGCCAACTATTCCTGGACGGTCGTCACTGGCAACAACTGCCTCAATGGGAGGGAAATCATTTGGACTTAACTCATTGCCAACTATACCTGGTCAGCATTCTAATCCACAGCAGCCAAGGAAGCCGTTCGTGCCACTGCAGATGCAGCCCTCAACAACGCCCAATATGGTTGATAACTTATTGGGAATAACTTCAAAGCCAACTAACCCAAGGAGGCCGGTTGTGCCACCCAAGAAGCCGATAGCAAATGCTCTAAGCGGCACTGAAAATTTATTGGGAATCACATCCAAGCCAACGAATCCAAGGAGGCCGGTTGTGCCACCCAAGAAGCCGATACCAAACACGCTAAAACTAAATGAAAATATATTAGGAATCACATCCAAGCCAACGAATCCAAGGAGGCCGGTTGTGCCGCCCAAGAAGCCGTTACCAAACACTCTTAACGTTAATGAAAATATGTTGGGAATAACATCAAAGCCAACTAACCCAAGGAGGCCGGTTGTGCCACCCCTAAAGCAAATGCCAAAAACGTCAACCATGGGCGATAGCTTATTGGGAATAATATCAAAGCCCACCAATCCAAGGAGGCCGGTTGTACCACCACGAAAGCAGCAGTCAACCGATCCAAGCAATAGTGGGATTATTGAAATGCCAACTACCACAAGGAGAACGGTTGCGTCCCAGCAGCTACCCAAAGGTCCAACGGTGGGAGGGAATAAGAATGGACTTAATTCGATGCCCGCCTTGGACTGGTTCGATTAAAGCGCTAGCATCCCAATTGTATCAAGTTTGTATAATGCTTGAGATGCGGACAGTGATTATTCATTAAAGTAAAGTTTATATAAATGTCTCATCCAATTGCTTTCGGTTAGCTCCTAATATTTTTGATAATATTCATATTCCCTTGCTGTCCGTTATGCTCAATAAGGCATAGGAATATTGCTACAGATTTTGTTTAAGACGTTAAATCGGGATATTGCATCAGAAGTCACTGATGGAAGAAGCAATTAGCCTTCTTTGCATTTGATTTGGCTTTATTTTTTTCGCCGTGTTTTCATCGATATTATATTAGCTTTGATTGGCAGTGATACTTTCATATCGATACATTTCGTGTTATCGATAGCAATCGTGCATGTCATAAGATATGCTGATGCGCTGCGAATGGTCACATTTCCCAAATACATTTTTTTTCTTTTACAGTTAATACCTCCTCTTTTGCGCCCAGCTCTTATATTTTATTATATTAATAATCACTTTTGGCTTTGACTTTTTTATATTCTATTTTTTCCACATACCCCAATGGAATGTATTAAATTTCTGCTCCCGGCCAAACGACCCGGTGGCGCAGTCGCATAACGTATAAAACAGAGTCCGCTTTTGATTTAAAATAATTCTTAAAATTCGTTTGCATTGGTGCTCTTTGCATATGTATTAAATATGTACATATATATATAAGGGTAAAAGTAAATATCTGAACTCACCACTTGTAGCCAATTTACCGTTGCTTCGATGCACGCTTTTTCGCTCAAGCATCCATTATACGCATTAGCCAATTTACCGTTGCTTCGATGCGTTCGACTCTCAAGCATCCATTATATCCATTATATTTGCTTTTATTATGCCGAGGCGATCTTTATTTGCTTTCTAACTTCAGCTGCTCGGATTATTTGCCGCATTCCGTTCACCACTTTTTTAAGTTTAATTATAATCGCGTTGCTTATATATTTAACACAGTTTTAACACATTTTTGCCGGTAGAGCTGCCAGATAGTCATATGACACCGAAACCGTTCGAAAAACGTGGCAATTTTCGCTATGCTTGCAAATAAATGTAATCTTTTTGTAATTTAAATTGCGCGTTAAACGCGTACAAATATAAAATCGAACACATTTTTACTGAATAAATACAAAAAACACTTTTATTTGCAAGCAAGACGTGCCTAAACTGCTGCCTATACCACTGAACACTATAAATGCACCTTCTTTAGTTGATTGTTTGATACTTGTTTTGCGCCATTTTAAAAGTGTGACCATGCAAATGAAAGCTAAAAATCTCAAAAGCCAAAACGCGCGAATGCTTGAGGTCACACTGCTGCGGTGCAGCATCTGGGGCCAGAGCTATTAATTGGGTGGATAATCAGCATAGAGTCTAGTTGGAATATTCACATATGATAAACAATAATTGTGGTCAGTTTAATTCCGTTATAATAATATTTTAGGTGTACATGCTAGTCCTTGTCCGAGCCGACGCTTTCTTGCAGCTCCAGCTCTACCTTTTGCTCTGCAACATCGCCTGCTGCAGCAGCAGCAGCTGCTGCGGCAGCTGCCTCCTTGGCCTTCTCGTATTTATTGACCTCAAACTTGCTTAGATCGGCGCCAAGCAGGCGCAGAATGTGCACCGTCTCATCGCGATCGACGTAGGCGCGCAGGCTGGAGGTGCCGCGCCAGCCAACAATGAAGAGGGTAAACGCCTCGTCCACATACTTGAGAACGCAGCTGCCAATGCCTGCAAGGGTGTGGCAAATGGATTAGCCTGGGGCGATTCAAAATGGGCAATTCAAATGCGGGCACTTACCCAGCTCCTTGCAGCGCTGCTGTGTTTCCGGCTTCAATTCAAGCGTTGACGGCGGCTTCGTTGGATCCGTGCAGTTGAGCAGCAGCACCAGATCATCGCGCTCCACCTGAATGCGTCGACTATTGCCAATGAACGCATTCGATGTCTGCAGACCCTCCTGGGCCAAGCGATACGGATGCGCCGTATGGCGATTCTCGCAGCGCACAAACGTCTTTACGCCCGTATTGATGATCTTGATGTTCTTTTCATTGTTAACGACCAGATCGCGTATCGGCTCCGAGCAGTAGTAAATGTTCTTCTTGCGCTCCGTTTGGCAACGGGTGAGCAGGCAGCGTTTGTTGAGCGATTCGTCCAGCTGATAGAACTGCTGGATGGACTCGTAGTCGGCATCCTGCTCGCCAAAGAACACATACGGATCCTCCTTGTAGCCATGCAGGCGACGGCGCTTGCGCTGTGGTCCCCATGGCGTCGATTTCTCCTCCACTGGCTTGCCGGCCTCATCTAGCTGTGTTTCTGGCTGCGGCGCCGTTTCGGCCTGCTGCTGCAGCAGCAAATCCTGCAAATCGTTCTTCTCGAAATTCAATGGACGTCGCTTCTCGATGACGGCCACAAAGAAGCCACCGCTGTCCTGCAAATGTGGCAGCACACGCATACACTTTTCCAGGCCAATTGTGGCCAATTCTTCGGCGGGCAGCGGGAACATTGCCGGGCGTATTATCGTGTGCAGCTGCTCGGGCACCTCATCAAAATTGCTATAGACGGCATCCACCTCTTTGGTGGCCAGCTTCCAGTTGGTCATGCCCGGTTTGTGTTTGAGGCCAGGCACTAGATGCGCAGCATCGACCAGCTCCAGTGCGCCATCCGCATCCTTAATGATGCGCTGAAGCACCGCCTCATTCTCAATGGGATTTAGCGAGCATGTGGAGTAGACCAGACGCCCGCCAACCGCTAACATCTCGGCACCGCGCCGGACAATCCGATACTGGACACCATGCAGATTGTATGCCTGCGCCAGATTCCATTTCATCCAGATATCGGGATTCTTGCGCAGCGTGCCATCGCCCGAGCAGGGCACATCGCACAGTATCTTGTCGAACTTGAGTATGGATTTGCTGCCGGTGGCGGCATCGGTCTGCAGCAGGTTTGGAAAGAAGCTGCTGTCGTGATTGGTCACCAGCAGACAGGGCGAGTTGAGCCGTTTGGCCTGATGCACGAGCATATAGCAGCGATTGTTGTCCACATCGTTGGCCAGCACAAAGCCCGGCGGTATTTTGTGCTGTTCGGGCGCCGCATGCAGCGCCTCAATTAGCTGTGCTGTCTTTGAACCGGGCGCCGCGCACATGTCCAGCACCTTGTCCGTGGGCTGCACATCTAGCACTAGTGGCGGTATCATGGACACCGCCTCCTGGCGACTTATGCTGCCCGCTTTCGTCTCAACAATGAGAAAGTTGTGCAGCCGAAAGAGCGGCTCCGAGCGACGGATATCCTTGCGTGTCAAATGCAATTGATAGGCCAAGCCATTGGGATACCAGGGCAGGCATAGTGGACGTTCCACCTGTTCCGCGGGCAGCTCGTGCAGCTCAGCGACAGCGCGCACATATTCGGTAAACAATTGCGTCTTTATTATATTCAACAGCGCCTTCGCCTCATCCTTGAAGCCTGTCACACGGAATGTGGTCGGCAAATTGTCGCGTATGCTGGCCAAAAACTGTGTCCACTCCTCCTCGTTGGCGCAGATATTCTGCAGGTGATAGTATTTAATGAACGACGCATTATCACGCTCAATTTCCTTATAAGGCTCGGCACGACGATCGGGACGCTCTGGAGCACCCTGCAAAAACAAACATAAAAAGAAAATACAGAATTGAAAAATAAGTTTTATCTGAACTTTTGATATTTGCACTAATGCCCTACATTTGCACGCTTTTGCCGTTTTCTAGCTGCAAACGGATTTTGTTTCTTGCCACGCGCCATTATGCAAATTATTTAATATTCTATTTTCGTTTTCTTTTCAAATATTAAAACAAATTGAATAAATGCTAAATTGCCGTGCGTTGTGTTTATTCAATGAGCCGGCAACACGTGTTTCGCTCCCATCTGGCAGCACTTACATATTATCGAACACAGCAGATAACGATAGTAAAACTATCGTTGTAGCTTTAATTACGATTGCCACATAAAAAGGCACGAAAATATTAAAAACAAAAAAAATGTATTTTCGATATAACAATGAAAACATTTTAAATATACATTGTATACACACACATTTTGTATACTCTTCTGGATTTCTTTAATTCAAATAAATATAACAACTATATCACTCTAAAAGCAGCCAAGCTTAATTTGTTTGTTAGAATTTGTACAATTTTATATATGGACATTTGTATTTGTATGAGTTGCATGGAAGTAACCATGAAGCAAGTATAACAATTAAATTATTTAAGTACTAACCGCAGTACAAATCTTATGCATTAGCACAGCGAAAGCTGCTCTATATCTAATCACGATCCGGCAACACTGCTTATCACTATGCCTACGTGCCTATCGATAGTTCAGGCATTTGTCATCGATAAGCAACTCGTGCCTTATTCAAATCAAAGTAAAAACTCAAATATTTCATTATAAAAATTACATTTGTCTTTAAGAGGTAGAAAACAATGGAATCAACAAACACGACAAACAGCGACCTTGACGACATACAATACCTGCTGCACCTGGAATCTCTCAAACGGTACACAGAAGAGGCCAAGAACATGCAGCGACAAGTGGAGGAGCATGCGCGCAATTTCGTAGAAGCCAAGCGGCAATATCAACGTGAATTTGCGCGTCTGGTCAGCTTGAGCAAAAATATCAATTTGTGCGAGACTCTGGACGCGAAGAGCTCACGCATTCTCGACACCCATGTGTCGAACACGAGTCTCAAACTCTCTGAAATGAGCGCCGCTCTGGCCAACGAAAAGCGTCCCAACGAAATGGACATGCGCATTCTGGAGGAGTGCAAGCTGCAGCTGGAGCGCAAACATCGGCCGCGCATCAAACTCGCCAAGCATCAGATCAATGTTGCCAGCAATCGGGAGGCGCTCAAGACACTGCGCACCACCCTGGACAATGTGGAGAACGGCTTTGAGCTGTCCACGCTGGCGACAATGGATCAATTGACCATTGAGCTTCAGCCACCGCAACCTAATTAACAGCATTGTATTAAGAACTTTTTCAACTGTATATCTTTACTAGGATTAAACAAAAATAATATAATATAAGTGCCCAGCTTTAATTTGTTTGTCCATATGCATTGAATGTAACAGTTTGTAAATTTAGCTATGTACACTTGAATTTAACAATTAAAATAACCAAAAATTACTTCAAATTGTACCAAATTCAAGTATTGACGCTGCGTTGTTCAACACTGTCTCGGGCTGTACGTTAAATTTGAAACAATTCATAGATTTGCTACATTTGTTGTTGAGGCTATGCAAGCGAGAACCTTTTGAAAATGCTTTCAATTCTTTATTAAGTATAATTAATAACTATAAGGAACAAAAACACAACGAACGTCGTTAGCTACTCGTGCTAATCGAGAGTCTGGTCTTAATAATTACAATAATAATAATAATGAGATAAATATGTATAAAGAAGTCGGAATGTTGACGATGCAAGCGTTTCAAGCAGCGACAAACATTTATTGTACTTTCGGCGGGGTTAAGTGTTTTGTTAATTTATTAATTTAGCAGCAGTTGAGCGCATTCTAGGAAAGAGAAAATGACAAAGATTAGATATTTCTGTGGCAATTTGACGTGTGGCGCACACACGACAATGCTAGCAATGTAGTTACCACTTGGAGCGCTTCGACCAGTCCTTGGGTGTCCAGTGCAGGCACTTGGAATCGATGCGTATCTTGCGCTTCATCATGGCGCGCTGATGCTGCTCAATGGTCTCCCGGCCGATGCAGACAATGTACTGGCCCTTGTAGTAATTGATCAGATTAAGATTCTGCAATGTGGAGATCACATCCTCCTTCTTAATGGAAGTGCACTCGCAGATGTCGCTGTAAGCAATTGGGTTCATACATACATTATGGGGTTCAGAAATGGAGCTGTTTATATTGAAATATTGTATACTTGATGGTTATGGTGGGCTTCTCGCCGTCTGTGCTGGTGTTTTGACTTATCAAAATCTCGAGTATGGTCTGCGCCCAGTAGGAGCGATAGGAGAGCAAGCCCAAATCCGAGAGTGGCTTCTCTGGCGAACCGGTTTTACCCTCAAACTTGGACAGCTCGTAGCTAAACTCAATTAAGAGCTTGCCATAGCCCTTGCGCTGATATGGCGGCATAGTCAAAATGCAAGCGACATTATAATCCTCGGTGCTCTCCTTCTCCTTGGAAAAGTAGCCAACAATGTGAAAGCCGCGTGAATCAAACTCGGTCATGATGTAGAACAAAAATGGATCCGTGTCATAGTAGAGAGTCTTGTGGTCCAAAAACAGTTTGGCCAGCAGGCAGAGATTTTGTGCGTACACCTTGTTCTTGCGTCCATCGATCTCAAAGAAGGATATTGTGTTCTTGCGATAGATCTCATTGCCGGGCGGATGGCGTAGATTACATTTGGACAAGTGACGCTCCAGGCACTTGCGACTCTTGCAATACTTTAGACAGAATTCGCATATGTAAATGCAATTCTCTTGGCACAGCTCCTGCGGATATGGTGAGAAGTACCAGGGCTTAATGCGATGACGACCCAATTCGATCATTTCAACATTTTTCATGCGCGTCACCACATCATCCTGATGTGTAACCATGCTGCCCGATTGCCTGGGTGTCGCCATTTTTCCATCCTGCGAGCCATCCTCGTTGCCTGCAGAAGTTATTCCTCCGCTGCCGCCGCCGGGTGTCGTTGGCAACAGACCGCCATCGCCGGTCACATGCAACGGCGTCTGGGATGTGTGTAATGGCTGTTGCAGCTGCTGCGGCTGTTGTTGTTGTGGTTGCTGTTGTTGTTGTTGTTGCTGCTGCTGATGCTGTTGATGTTGTTGCTGCAGTGTCTGCAAATGATGTGCACTGTGGCTGTGGCCGGAGTTACCGTGCACTTTGCGCCGGCGATTGATGCGCTTCTGTAAAGCTGCCGCCAGCACATTGTTGCCATTGACGAGTTCGCCGCCGCCGCCAACGCCGCCGCCCATTGAGCCGCCAGAACCAGTTAGTGGGATGCCAGTGCCAATGCCACTAACAACGCCGCCGCCGCCGCCACCGCCGAGGGCAGCGTGTTGGGGTTGCGGCGATGTTGGGCGCGAGACACTGCCCGCAAGTGAATGATGACGCTTGGGCGTTGTGACGCCCGTGCTGGTGCCGGTCTGTGGGCCGTCGCGGCGCGGAAACTGCACCTTGCGCGTGTCCAAATCATCCTCGTTGACCCACTCGTCCAGGCGCTTATTAACTGTGCAAATGCGAAAAGTACAAAAACAATTAATGCCCAATTGTTGAGCGTTCCATTCATTGTTCCGTTATCCTACTCACAATCGACATAGTGCACATAGAACTGGCGCCTGCCGTCCTGCTCCTTGATGCTGACTATCTCGGCCAGCGGCCAGTCGTCGGTCTTGTGCATGCGCACAGACAGGCGGCAGCCCTCGGTTAATGCAGCCTGGCGTTGGGTATTCAATAATTAGCCAAACATAGGAAAAAAACAAAATGAAAAACACATATTGAGCTCAGCAACGTTTAGAAAAAGATGGCTACAGTTTCTTGGCTTCTCTATTTGGTTTTCATTTTGATGGCAGTATATGAATTTAATATATATTTACCGTCGATTCACAGATTGATGCAACATCATCGTCGAATTCATATTTGTTCTTCATTTTGTTGTTTTGTTTATGTAAATTGCCGCTTTTATTTCATTTATCCGTAGCACGTCTGTTTTGGTTGTTGGTCGCAAATTGAGAAGTATCAAAATATCGCATGTTATCGATAATTTAATTGGTCTCTGTTAAGTTAAGAAACATGTCTGCTAGTGTCAGCTATTTGACCAATTTAGTCCTTAAGAATAAGTGTTAATGTCGTTATCGATGCGATATCGATACTACTGACAATATCAAAAAGTTCAATGGAATTCAGTTAATAAATTTAGTTTCACTTAAATCATTAAAGTCATATCGCTCTGTTAAAAGCAGCAAATTAGCGCAAAAGTAAGCCGAGCGAATGTTAACGTATAAAAGCCCAGTGTTGTATTTCACTATGTAATCGTACGAGTATTCGATTATCTCATAGTTGCCAATAGTGCTGCGAAAGACATGCGAAAGTGTTGTAAAGCAAAACAACTGCGCTCTAAAGTGTTCGTTCCTTTCAGAAGTTTTACGTTTATGTGTAATTTAACACAAATATTTAACTTGTGCATTTATAATAATGATATATAATACATTGTTAACGTTAATAGTTATTGTGTAAGCTTACACCAGCCCTTCTAAACCAACATGTCTTTTTTTCGCTATGTGTAAGAGAAGGTCAGAAAAATGTACATACATATGTGTAGTGGAAGGTGCATAAGCAAGTGCGTGTGCGTGTGCGTGTATGTGTGTGTGCATTGCGTATGTATAAAAAAATAAAACAAATCGCTAAGCGATTAACAACAAATTAAAAGTGCAAAGTAAGCACTGTTAGTACATATATGAGCTCATATGTGTATGTATATATGAATATGTGTGTGTCTATACATATATATAAAAATATATATGCATGCGTGTGCGAGCGCGCATCGTAGCTGTTCATGCTAATAGAACGTATTTGTAAATTGCTACAACAACAAAAACTGTGTGGCAAAATGACGTGTTTGCGCTAGTGTTGCCACTGACAACAGAATGCCAGGGCTGCCAACGCGTGTGCACAACCAACCTCCAAGCGGCTATTGCCTATTTTTCCTGTCAGCATTTTTTTGTTGTGACAGTAAAATAATAGCATATCAAAGAGTACAACGCATATTTGATAATTAAATCATCCACAACGGTGCGTTCGGTGTGTGCGTGTGTGTGTGCCAAAAATAACATTGCCAACTAGATATGAGCGTATGTAAATTTCGGTTTGCAACTAGAGATGAGCGCATGTGAATATCGCACATCTCTATTTGGCAGCACTGCGCGGCTTGGTAAAGCAAATGATTTTTTTTTTGACAAGTCGCATTTCTTTTATTTAATTTTTTTTTTTGCATCAATGTTTTTCAAGTGTAAACTGTAGACTCGGTTTCGGCAATGTGAGAGTGTTCAATCAAATGGTAGTGACAAGGTTGCTCCGCTATAAAGCAATTTAACTGGTTGCATTCGATTGACGGATTGAGAACTGCATTAAAGCGAAAAATCAACAATTTAACAAACAAAAAATATATATATATATGAGAAAAAAAGCGAAAAATCAGCAAAAACACAACAGCTACAGTGCGTAGGCAACGGTATTTGCACAGCATTAAGTTTTGTTAGAACAACAAACAACAACAATTCTACAGTTCATTTGCGTTCGCAAATAAACAATAGCGAGCGATTGTGAGCGTGCGGTGAGCGAAAAAAAAAAATTACGCCAGACACAAAACAACGTGAATACTGGAATCGGGCAACGCTTAAGGACAACAAGTAGTGTGAGGAGAAGAGCAAGCTTAACAGTATTAACGGTGCCCTTTTGGGTGTCATCGGCTGCGGCGTTAACACGCGCGGCGGCCTTGACAGCTGTTTTTGTAGGACAACGGGATCTGCAGCGCATATCTCATATCCATTTTCGGGAACCTTGTTGGTAAGTAACTGTTAACTATGTGTGTATGTGCGTGTGCTTGTGTTTGTGTGGGAGAGAGAGTAAGCTTATGACGCAGTTACGCTCTCTTTCTCTAAATATATATATATATATATATATATATATATATATATATATATATATATATATATATATAAACATATATATGTATATAAGTCTGTACATATTTATATGTATATATACCTACATAAATATGTGTGTATATTTTTGCCAGGTTCTGTTTTGGAAGCTGCCGAACTGCCAATTGTGCGTATTTGTAATTTTAATGGCATTTCGTTGTTTGTTATATGCCACAAAAGATGAACAATGAACAAATTGGTGTTTCATCAATATCATCAACAACCTTATCATCCGCAACATCCACATCTGCTGCTGGCAATAGCAGCGCAGCTGCTGCGCAACTCATCAAGGCCATATCAACAGGCACCGCAACCGCCAACGCCACCGCCACTGGCACTGGCACTGGCACCGGCACCGGTACCGGCAACGCCAAAGATAAAGACAAAGACAAAGACACAAATATTGCCACATTGGTAACAAAAATCCAAGCGATTATACCCGATACGCCCATCGTTTCAATTGCCGCTGGCACGTTGAGTGAGAGCACCTCAACAACCACATCCACTAAGACGACACCGACGCCCTATTTCCAGGAGCAGCTAACCACCTTAATGTCGCACAATGTGAAGCTGGAGCAGCGTCCGGCCAACGACAGCAGCAACAGCTACGACCTGTCCAACAAAAACAATAACAGTAGTCAATCAGCAGCTGCCGCCTCTGTGCTTAGCCAAAATCATGTGCCGGCCGGTGATAAGAAAAGCAATAACAACAACAACGGTGCTGCTGGCAGCAGCAGCAGCAGTCGTAGCAGCATTGCGAACGCAACGCATCACAATTTGAATTTAACACCGCTGTTAAGCAAATCTGGCCAACCAGCACCCGAGGTGATTGCTGCCGCAACTGCGCTGCATCAGCGACGCGGTGCTACCACCAAAGGCAAGACCCAGGATGACCAGAATGTGGGCAAGCGTCAGAAGAATAAAAAGGTGAGTTGTCTATAATTCACCATTCCACCCCCCTCCTCCTTTCCCACCATAGCCAGCAACCGCTGTGTTGAGTAACTGCGCTAATTTGCAATCAATTATTTCTTAGTAATAACATAATTTGTATCAATATATTTTCTTGCCTTGTCCGCACTTTAAATTTCCATTTCATTTAAGCATTGTTGTTGCCTCGTTTTTCTGAACCCTAACTTAATTTCTTTTCGTTCCTTTTGTTAGATTAATTTTTTTTTTACTATTGAATTCCACAAGTATTTTTTTGTCATTCATATGTGGTTTGTGTGTGTGTGTGTGTGTGTGTGTGTGTGAGTGTGTGTGTGTGTGTGTGTGCGTGTGCGTGTGCGTGTGTGTGTGTGTGTGTGTGTGTGTGTGTGTGTGTGTGTGTGTGTCTTCAGCGGACATCGCAACAATTATTTTGCACACACAACATTCACATGTATGGTACATGTGTGACGCACACATGCACATACGCATGTGTATGCCCTGGATGTGGTCGCACGTCATATCTGTGTTTTTGAATGATTTTCCAATTACATACATATCCAATAAAAATCGCACAAACATTCTATAAATATCAACAGAACTGAAACATACATACACATGCATATGCGTAATACTTATGTATGTTAGACCATATACATATATATATAAACATACATACATATGTATGTATATAGAATATTCCTTAAAATATGATGTAGCAAACATTTTTTTTATTACTACCCATACAAAAATTTATTAACTATTAATCAAATTAATATTCATACACGATTCAATTTAATGTCGATGTTGGGCTGCTGCTGAAAGCGTCACTTTAAAGTGCTTAACAACGTGTCACTTGCAAGTGTTGCGAGTTACGAAAAGAAAACCGTTACTTTAGCGCAGGCAGTCTCTAGCATACATAATAAAAATAAAAAAAAACAACAACAACAAAACAGGGGACGAGAAAGGGAGCGCGTTGGTATGAGCGTTGTCATTTCACTCCCGCTCACGTTTAGCGAAATGTGCCTGGACAAATGCCGTTATCTGACAGACGCCATAACTCCTTCCATCATAGGCTTGCACAACACACACGCACACGTGCAGGCTGCGCTTCACATACATACATGCATGCATATATATATAGATTATGTGTGCGTGTGCATGTGTGGTGTTTAAGCAAATTTGCAGATCGGCGGGCCGAACGTGTCTTTAAAACGTGTCTCTTAAATTTGGTTTATTTTAATAGATAATTTTTTATGCATTTTTTTTTTGTGGTGTTGTTGTTCTTGTTTTAATTCATATATTCTAAATACGATTTGAATGTGTTCTTGATTTCGTTTATGGCATTAGGAAAACCACAGTTCTATTAACTTATCGAAGAACGTTTTGTTCTGTGGCGCCGCCGTCGCCGTCGTCGTCGTCGTTGACGTCGCCGCCGCCGTCGCATTAAACTTAACCACACGCATTAAATTGTTTTATTTAATTTATTTATTTTGTTGCACTTGTGTGCTTGTGACTTGAGCCTGACATATCTAAAAACGTATATAAATATAATACATTCATGTGTATGTGTGCTTGTATGTATGTACATATAAATATAAAAAACCGAAGCCAAGTGCGTTGCATGTGTCAGAATTATTGACCAAGGCACCGTGGCAAGTCGATGTGAAGCTGATGTAAGCCCAGTTGCATGCGAACATTTCCAGGTAAATCGAACTCGCAACAGCCCTCACAGACCTCACAGACCTCACAGCCCAAACCGCCCACACTTTACGCAAATGCCGTGAGCTAAAGGTTTCGTTAGATGAAAACCAAAATGTTAGGCGCAGTTGCGTTTTTGAGGTTAAAGACAAACACACGCAGCTCCTTGACTAGGCGGACATATCTTTCTCTTCTTTGCTCTGATAGCAAGCAAGACCAATTTTTTTTTGAAAAAAAAAAGAAATAATAAAAATAAATAAAGCAAGAAAAAAAAATTAAAAAAAATAATTTAACAACTTACAGACAAAGTACGATGCTTGGGAGGATAGCGAAATAAATGATCTCGACGACGCATCATTAAAGAAACTGCTCGAGGAGGCCTATTGGTATCGTAATCCGGGCGATAGAAAAAACAAAAGTGAGCGTTTTCTGGTAAGTCAGTCTTGTTTTGGCCACAATCAATCTATGCTGTTAATATCTGTGCATTAGATTGTTATATTTGTATGGCGTATTTTAATGTTTCACAGCAAATGCTCAAAAAGGCTGAGTACGACGAGGCGAACTCTTATCGTGCCATTAAGACCTGTCTAACACGCAATACGTCCGCATCATCATCATCAACGTCCAGCGGCTATTACGGCCACAGCAGCAGCGTCGGTAGCGGCAGCAACTTTGGAGCGCACAATAGCAGCAGCAGCTATCATACAAATCATCGGACAGCGTCGCAGCGTCATAAGCAGGGCGGCTCTTTGCAGGATTTGGTCGAGGCGACGCATCGCAGCGAGCTGGCAACAACGTCATCGGCGGCGGCAGCAGCAGCAACCCAACGTTTCAACTGTGATTATCAGCTTATTGGCGCCAGTAGCAGCAGTGCTGGCAACAGCAACACCCGCGCCAATCGACGTCAGCAGCATAACAACAACAACAACAGCAACAACCAAAACTCCGCCTTTGTCGGCAAGAAGTCGTTGAAGAACAACAACAGCAACAACTCATCTGTGTCAGCGCGACAACGCGAAGGCGGCAGCTTGCCAAGCAGCGTCAATTTTGAGATGGCTAACATGGATGCCAAGCAAAAGCTAGCCATTGGCGATGAGGGCGTGGCAAGCAATGCCAATCCCAATCCGAATCCGGTACCGAATCCCAATCCGAATACCGCCAATACTGCTAACAGCAAAGGCAATCGCAACAGCGCCGGGAGCAGCAGCAGCTTGCCCAGTCAACTGAATGAAACTGGGAATACCGTCATTGAGTTCGATGTGGATGGGAATGGGGATCGGGATGCTGCTGCTGCTGCTGATGTCGGCGGTGCCATCGGCGGCGGCGATGGTGGCGGCGCTTTGGCCGCCAACCAACTACTTGATGAAGCGTTGGAGGTAAGGGATGGCACTGTAGAGATGTGGGACATCAACTTGGATGAGACACTTTGGGATATGATCAATTATTCCCAAGCATATTCGAATGCCGAAGACGAACACTTGCTTAATGATACATCCAAATTGCAGGCGGTAAGACGCGCCTCTCTTCACGCGTATCCATTCATCTGATCAATACAATTAAACAATAAAACATCCCATTAATCAAGCGCCTAACCCATATCCTTAGGAAACCATTTGTTTAGCTTGTCCGTTGTCACTGTTCATAGATCATGTGTTTTGTGTTCGTAGTATATATCCTGTACATATGTATATATACATGTATTTCATTTGATGTAAGATGTGACTCGTAACAGTCGGCACTCATTAATTGATATCTTATCTAAACGAGATTATTAGGCAGAAAGTATCATATTCAGTAAGAAATTAAGAATCTACTGTTAAACCAGTTGGTTAATATTGTAAATGCTAGGATAGTTCACGAGCCGCTGTAAATTGATTTTGAATTCGATGCTCGCCCATGTTGTCATGTCATCAAAACAAAATCCCATGTCATCAAATCAAATCCCATCTGCAGTCACATCAGAATCACACAATTCCCATCTCCACTCACGCTCTCACTGTTTATATTGTAAAACGCAGTAGTTAATCGTTAACTTGCAAATACCGCCTAACTCTGTCTCTGTCTATTTTAAGTACTCTTCTAATCGCTGCTACCGTTCATTGTACTCGTCTCTCCTCTCGTCGCTCGATATTCGCTATTCCCCTCACTCGTTACTTTTTTTTTTTTTCTTTTCATTGCGTTAACATTATTTACCCGCATCAATCATGAAAGCAGTGTGGAGAGTCGGTTTAAGAATTCGGTTTGTGTGGAACAAGTTGAAGCAAATACCAAATGTTGATTTGCAAAAAACAAAAAAAAAAAAAAATCAATTTGCGCTGCAACATAATGTAAATGACATAAAAATGTATATATATGTAGCTGTAATTGTAGAGTCCTAAATCAGGGCGAACTCTTTTTATTTATTTGTAAACAACATTTTTAATTTATTACAACTCTTTTTAATTACACGCAACAACAAACAAAGGCCCGTAACGATAAGGGAATGCCAAATTTGGCTGCTAACCAAGCCATGTCCCTTAAATGCGAGAATCAATCGGATATTCTCAAGCAACAACAACAACAACAACAACAACAACAGCAGCAGCCCGATGGCAAGGATTCGGGCCCTGTCAAAGAGTTCCTAATCGATGATCCACTTCACTTTTCCATGCTGGAGATGTCCGCTAAGAATCAGAAACTGCCACTACCGCAGTATCCGCCAGCATTGGCCAGTGCTGTAGCTAGCGGACAATTTACACTACCGCTGGGTGAACATAAGCGCAAAGTTGACGCCGGCTATGTGTCTCTCAATGATAGCTACACGGCCTGCTCGTCCGTGTTTGGCTTGGCTGGCAACTTTTCATCGGGCAGCAAGAGTTCATCCAAGGGCTCTGGCGCCGGCAACAGCGCTGAGCTATTTGGTGGCGCAGATCTACGTCCGGCTAAGATTGGACGCATGATGACCGCAGCGGCCGCTGCAGCTGTCGTCGCCTCTCACGGCGCCAAGGCCACAACGGTAAGTGAGCAGGAGTTGGCGCTCGACTCAGAATGTAAAGAATTGTAACTTTATTAACCCTTTGTCTTTGTGTGTATTAAAAATTCATATTCAAACAAAAACAAACTGGTCTAGGATTGGTTTTATGTGCAATTATTGTATATAACAAGACAGAATGAAGCATTTACGATCCTATTACAGAGTCTATATTCATGCACAGCCGGGTGGTCGATCTATCCATGTCCGTTCGTTCTACTGTCTATTTCTTCCTACCCACCCCCAGAGAGACAATTGGAGCCAAGGACTGGGATGGTCCGACATCATATCGATTTTTAGATGCCTTGATCTTTGATCTTTTGCCTTACTTCTTATTGGTTTTTGGTTTTCGGTTCAATTTCTGCAGCACGAGAATAAAGTTTGGTCAACAACGGGCAGCATAAAATGCGTATTTTTAAGTTATATTTGGCTTTGAAATTATCTGGTTAACCAAAATTATAGTTTGATGGAACTTTGATTGGATTCTAGTCGGAAACGGGCTTAAAATTGGGCTTAAAATTGCTAGAAACTAACTTGAAACTTGATATTCGGCATAAACATAAGTTTCTAAGCCGAAAAACGCGATGCATTGCGACATTGCGTAGTGTATGAAATCCATATCTAATTGATATAATATAAATAATTGGGGCTTATTAATTACAATTTACTTGTAATTAGTTTGTTTTACGTTGGGCAGAAAGTTAACAAGATGTTCTTTATGTAAACAACTTGATAATTCTCGCTTATTTCAACATTTGTTTAGCAATAGCTACGCCCAGCTATACTCGGCTTTCGAGGCAATCGGGCTCTCATCGCATAGGGTTCTGTTGCAATAAATAATGTTGATAATGTTGCTTGATGGAACAAAATCGGAGTTTGTCTGGCAAAATCTGTGCGAACCAGTTGACAAACAGGAAATATTTCGTATAGCTGAGATGGAATGGTCTGATTCTTCCCAGAAGAGGCCTTTATTATTCCACATGATCCGAACTTCCTGTCGAGAAAGTTGAACAACCTTGTAGGCACAGGGCTTAGATGGGATTCGATATGAAAGCTTTATTTCCCGATTAATATAAACTAAAGAAACCATATAATGTGGCACTTACAGACGTGTTAAGAGAATCGGCTGTGCCGGGGTAGCTTGAAAAAACGTAAGGCTCTTTTGTGCAAAAGATAGCAGGTGTTATAATAGTCCGCTTATATATGGAGAGCATAGTTAAACCTGTAAATAACGACATGATATAGTCGTCCGATCCGGCTGATTATGAGCTATGCAAACATTTCCTGAGACACTAGCTCTCATAGCAGATAGATGGCTATATAGACTCGGCTGTTGCTACGAATCAAGAATTTTTGTTTGTTCATCTATATATACTTAATGCACTAAACATTTGGCTGACAGTTGAAGCGATTGCCCTACAATACAAAATTTATATAATATATGTATATAGTATATATCAATCTATATTGAATGTCATCAAATATTAATATGAACCTAAATTCCTATTTACCTGTTACACACAGCCCAACAACCGTTTCCCTTCATATTTGCACAAACAGCCTTTGCATTGAGCTAAGACTGTTTATTGTAGGGTATTGTCGGGCAGGCATGTGGTTGACAGCACACGCATTCAAGTAACAGGGTTGCATTCGATAAGAAACTGTTGATTTTGACGTGCAACTGTCAAACGTGTAAATACGCGAATCGAATGACAGAATTCATTTGAAAGCCACAAACGGAGAGCGAACAACACACAATAAGTCTAAGTCGAACAATTGTCAAAGACATAGGGCATCAAATAGCCATTCTCACTTAGTAATATAATGAAAAATTGGGAATTTTGAACACAAATGAAAGTGAAACGTTTGAAGCGATGTAATAACGCACAGATCTCCATGTTTAAGCTGATGGTTAGTGCTCGTTGTTGTTGCAACATTCGTATTAGCCGGGCGAGTACTCTGTGCAACTTGTGGCATAAAGTAAATTATGTTTTTTTTTTTGTTTGGTTTTGGTTTTATTCTAGCGCCAGTTTGATGAGAACGGCAACGCTTTGGGCGATGGCTATGCCGCTGGCAATGGTACTGGCAGCAGCAGCAGCAGCAGCAGCAACAACAATAACAGCAGCAGCAGTAACAACAATAACAGCAATGGCAGCGGCAACAACAACAACGCCAGTGGCAGCTCCTCCTTCACAACGCTTATCACAACCACCTTGGGCAGCGGCGGTGGCAGCGCATTGACAGCCCCGCTGCAACAGCAACATCATCAACATCATCAACTTCAACAACATCAACAACAACAACAGCAACACCAGCAGCAACAACAACAACAACAGCGCTCGAATAGCGTATCCACATTGCTCACAACTGGCGGCAATACAACAACAACAGCCATGGCTGCCGCCGCAGTGGCCGCATCCTTTAATAGCCAATTGCAGCAGGTGCCAGGCTCTGCTGCTGCTGTTGCGCCGCCGCAGCCGCCGACGAAGCTCAAATCGAAAAAGAAGTCACAGCAGGAGCGTAACACGACCACCGTGGATGTGGAATCGGTGGCCGGTTATCGTGGCAAGGATCCTGTTGAGCAGCTGGTCAAATACATTGAGAACGACGGCTCGGCGTGCGCTCAACAGCAACAACAACAGCAGCAGCAGCAAAAGAAAAAGGAGCGCAAGAAACAGAATAAGCTTAAGAAATGCAACTCGCTGGAGGAGTTGCGCAGTTGCGCCAAAATGGAAGTCGATGAACTGAAGCGTCAGTCGGCCACCACCGAAATGATGCGCAACAAAAAGGGGGGCAAGCACAATTCCGCCTCTGTGGCAGACATCAACAAGAATTGCAACAAGGAGCAACAGCAGCAACAACAGCAGCAACAGCAACAACAACCAGCAACAGCACAACAATCTCAACAGACAGCGGCGCCGCGCAAAAGCGAGCGTCGCTCCTGGGGCACCGAGGAGCTGCAGTATTTGGGCGAGACGCCGCCCGCAATGAATGATGCAAAGCTAAATGACAGCGGCAACAGCAGCGCCAGCAACAATTGCGCCGATACGCCCTCCTCGTCACAGCTGGGCGCAGCTGGAGCCGCAGCCGTAGCCGTAGCCGCAGCGGGCACTTTGCCAGCGCTGGAATTGCCAACGCTGGCGCGCATGTCCGAAATGGAGGCGCTGAATACGGTGCTTAGCGAAACGGCTGAATTTCATGTGGTCACCAAAAAGAAGAAACCAAAGAAACAGCGCGCCGTCACCATGGATGATGCGGCCGTTGCGGCAGCGGCAACAACTGGCGGCAATTTGCAGCGCATGCAACAGATAACCAAATCTGCATCGTCCAACATGATGTCACAGCGTTTGCGCAGCAACATGGATTACTACAACAATAGCAGCAGCAGCAGCAACAGCAACAACAACAACTACTATGCAGCACATGCCAGCTATAACAGCAACAACAACAGCAACAAGCAACAGCAACAACTACAAGCGCAACAACAACATGCTGCCACATCGTCAGTCACAGCTGCTGCAACTGCAACTGCAGCTGCTGCTGCTGCAGCAGCAGTTGTTGCTGGCGGCACGCAGGATAATTCGCGTCGCAAGTCCACGTCGTCTATGCCGCCCTCGGAGAAATCCGATTCAAGTGATCTCGACTCGGTGCACTCGCTGCCCATACAAACCGTCAAGAAGAAGAGCAACAACAAGCGCGTCGCCGTTCAAGCCAAGCATAACAACAACAACAACAATAACAGCAACAAAAATAACAACAACAACAATTCATCGGCGCCCATTTCATATGCGGACATTGCGCGCAACAAGCGGGAGCAGCTAGCCCACGGTTATGGCGAGGACAGCGATGCTGGTGGCGATGCACAAGGTCCCGTGACGCCGCAATCGCTGCTGCTGCTACAGGACAACAAGCTCAAGAGTAAGTCCAAGCAGCGTCCCGATTTTCCGGAGCTGCCGGGCGCCATGGCTGCAACAATAACAACAGCAACAGCCACAGCAACAGCAACAGCAACAGCAACTGGCGCTGCCGCAGCCGCAGCGCTCATTAGCTATTCGCAGAGCCTCAACAAAACGGCTGCGCCCAGCGACATGGAGGGCAACAGTCAGGAGCAGCAGCATCAGCAGGCAACTGTTGTTGTCACTGGCACGCCCGCAGCAACAGTTGCAGCGGCAGCAACAATCACAACAGCAGCTGCGGCGGCAGGAACAACTGCCGGCAGCACCTCGAATCTGACAACAGCAGGCAGTGGCGCCATTGCGCCGCCAGCACTGCAAAAGTCGAAAAGCGTGGAGCACGATGCCAGCAGCTATAGCTTCAACAGCAGCAATCTAGATCTGCAGTATCCAGCGCTGGAGAAGACAGTGAAGCGGCACAGCCTCAATCATGTACCGCTGCCGGCCAATGTAGCCACTGGCTATAACTTTGCAGCAGCTGCCAAGCAGCAGCAACAGCAGCCGGATGCAAAATGCAGCATGGAAATCACACAGAGTGCAGCAGCAGTAGTAGCAGCTGCAGCAACTACCTCAGGCAAGGCCAAGTGCAAGCCAAAGGAGCTGTCACCCAGCAGCAGCAGCAGCAGCAAGAACAAGGAGAAATTCCTTAGCCAGAAGCCTAGTCAGAGTCAGGATGAGACATGTTCGCCGCCGGCGCTGCCCGTTAGCTTCAGTTTGGCCTGTGGCCACAGTGGCGGCACCATTACCTTCAAGGCAACAGCGGCCACACAGACGGAGGGCGCCAAAAAGCATAGCGGCGGCACTGCAGCAGCTGCTGTGCAGACCACATTGCCGCCGGTGGGCAACAGACCCGCTGTGATTATACTCAACGATGATCGCGACTCGAAGCTGGGCAGGCTCAACAACGAGTTCATCTTTGGCGATTTCAATGAGGACGAACTGAAGCTCTTCGACGATGCCAGCGACAAGGAGTCCAACGATAAGCAACAGCCGGAACAGCAACTGTTGCAGCTGGACAAAGAGCAACAGACGACACCAACAACGGCATCAACGGCAACCGCTACCGATCCCCCCAGTTGTGAGCAACAGCAACTGCAGTTGCTACTCAATGATTCGGGCACTGCCTCCGATGTGGTCAACAGTTCGGCCTGCATGGATCTGCTGCTTATCTCAGGGCAGGCGGCACAGTCGTCGCCCAATGCAGCTGTTAACAACAGCGCCAACAGCTGCAACAACACCAGCAGCAGCAGCAGCAACAACAACAACAATAGCAATAACAACAATTCATCAACATCCTCGACACCATCATCGTCCACCTCGTGCTCCACCTCGGCCTCCTCATCGACGCTGAGCAGCACCAATGGCAATGGCAATGGCAACGGCAATGGCGGCGGTGCCGCCAATCAGTCAAACGATAGCGGCATCTATGGCGCTGCCAACATATCCAATACCATTGCCGCCGCCGCTGCCATCAAGGATCAGGTCAATCATTTTCTCAGCAAGGCCAGCGCCAGTGCCAGTGCCAGCAGCAACAGCCACAGCCACAGCCATAGCCATAGCAACAGCAGCAGTTGCAGCAGCTGCCACGATGAGCCGCTGCCCATGCAGCAGCTGGAGACGTGCAACGATATCGAAACGGCAATTATAGCGGCCGCACGTGCTGCTGCTGCCGCCGCCTCTTCGCGCAGTGCCAGCTGCAGTCGCAGCAATTCGCTGGAGCAGCCGCCAGCCACACAAACGGCCGCTGCCAAAACCAAATCTCGACCAGCTCTCTACACGACCTACGGTAATGCCGACAATGCAGCTGCCCACGATCATAATAATGATGATGATGACGATGATAACGATGATGATGATCATGATGATGATGATGAAGAGGAGCAGCTGCATGAGCTCAGCTTTATGTCCGATCTCAAATCGGATTTTGTGGCAACCGCGCCGCTGCCACTGATGCCCACACCACCGACGCGCCAATCTCTCATGTCCAACACGGAGCTCATTGTGGACTACATCAGCAGCTGTAAGTCGACAAGAAGAAACGAGAGAACGAAGTGTATATATTTATATAAATTGCATGTGTTAGCTGCTCCATAACTGTTCGATGCTTTGACGATAACGATATCCATCACTATTTATCGATATCTAAACATGATTTCCTTCAATAGTGGAGAGATTTTTAATTTTGTAACTACCTTTGTTACGCATACAACTTGTTCTCGAACCTAACAAGTAAACTAGATACAGATTAAAAAGCATGTAGCGGGCGGACCTACAGATCTTTAAATCCGATAGGAGTATGCTTTTATCGATAAATTTAGGATTTTAAGGATTTTGAAAAGTAACTTTTATTTTATATTCACGTATCGCATTCGGAGCTTAAAAGAGCTGGAAGCATAGCTTCCCCCCTTTGATTGCCTGAGCAGAGCTTGTTTGTTTCGAATTATCGATAACAATTCATGTAGTCGATAAAAAAGTCGATATCGAAATTTCGTTTTTACATAACTCGAAGATTATTAGAGCTAGGCAGACCAAATTTGGTATGAAGATTCTCGTTTAGTATACATATCCAAAATTAATCGATTTTTTATAGGGAAACAATTGTGAAAGACGTGGTATTTACAAACACTTGGTTGTCATAAACAATCTCTGAAAAAGTTTGGATTGGAACTTCAGTATTTATTGAAAAGTTCAATAATACAAGGATTCGATTCGTGTAGCGTTGACCCGAAAGGTTGGAGTACATCTATTTAGCAGAAGATTTCAACACTTATCCAATTAAATTATATACATATTAGGCTTAACAATGCCTCAAATAGCTTTTATATGATCAAAGTAAAAGCAAGAATTCAACTGACTCACTTTACTCTCACTTTCTCTTTCATTTCCCCACGACCCCACTGTTTAGCCTGGAATGCCATAGTCAATAGCAAGTACGTGACCTTCTACAATGAGCAGGAGGAGCAGCAACAGGAAACTTAAGGAATGGAGTCAACATGTGCGGCATTCAAAACCCTGATGCCGCTCGTCGTCCTCTGCCGTTGCACTCCTGCTGCAATTTAAATTGGAAAAATGAAAACAAAAAAAAAACACACACACACATACAGGAGAAAAATGAAAGAAATGAAACGCGGAAAACTGTAAACAAAAACTAAAGCAAAAACACACAAAATTTTATATTATGTTGCATGGTTAATTGTTGAATCTTTATTTATGTGGTGTGCTGTCTATTGTTAACACACAATTGCACACACACGCACACACACACGAATCACATCTACCAGCTACACCTACACACATATATAAACATATACATATAAGTATATATATATACCTGCATATATATATATATATATACATGTATTTATATTTGCTATAACAATACGCTTTTTAAGCTAATGTAATGTTTAATTGTACCAACTATTGTTGAACTATATTGATCACCATTGGAAGCCTCACAGATTATCAATAAACAAAAACGAAACAACAATTATATTAACAAGTAACAACAACAACAACAAAAACAACAAGAACAGAGACACCAATTCAAGTCAGGAAAGCGCTTAGGGTTCAGTTTTTTTTTTGTTTTTTTTTTTTTGTTTATTTTTTTTTTGTTTTTTTTTTAGGCCAAAAGTTTAGGTTCCAACAAGTTGGCACCAAAACAGTTAATTGCATAAAATGTCCTCTATATTTATATATAAAAATATATATATAACTTATTCAAAGCTAAATCTAAATGTAAGACAACAACAATAACAAATTTAATTTTGTTATATTTTCTAGTTTTAACCGAAAGCATAAAACTATTTATTTAGATATGTAGGAACTAGTTTATATATACGCTATATATATACTTATATATATATATATATGAAGTAAAGAAAAAATGAAATTTGAATATTTTCAAGCGCATTTTGAAAAAAAAAAACAATTTTTGTTAGAAGGCTCTAGGATTTTTTTTTTTTTTTTTTTTTTTTTGTTTATTGTTTTTGTTTGAATTATTGTCAAAATATGCATAAATATAAAAATTTGTTAGAGAGCTTAAGAAATACAAAAAAAAGAAAAAGAAAAAAAAAACTATTTGTATGCCAGGAAAATCTAGTTTCTCTAGGCTAAAGAAAAAAGTCGAAGAAAAAAAGAAGAAATATTCAAGAAGCACTCAAAAAACGATGAATGTATGTAAATACGAAAAGAAATTTGCGTTTATATGTATTTAAAGAATTTGATATATGTATAAAAGAAATATATATCTATATATATGAATTTATATATACAATATATATACATATATATATATAAACATAAATATGTTTACATAGCTATGTAAGCAGGCAGCCATAAGCCTAAAGAGGAGACGCGTGTACTATGCTTGAACCCGTACTTGAACGAAGTAAAGCCAACTACCCGAACCCTCAGCCCAGAAATGGGATAAAAATCATTAAAAAAATTTAAATTTAAACATAGTTTACAGGTCGAAGCAAAACAAAACAAAAATAAGAAACACATAAATCAAAGCATAGGCACTTTAAGAAGCAACTATATTATTAAAATACCTTTTTTTTTTATAAATATACATATATATAAATATATATATATATATATGTATACCTATATACGCATAAATACAAAAATATAAAAAATTAAAAAAAAAAAAACGAAATCGAAAACGAAACGTGAATCGTTTTAAAATCATGTAAAATGTAAGCAAAACTAAATGAGAAAATTGAAACTTACATTTAAAAAATTATTTAAAACACTTAATAAATAAACAAAACACATTTCAAATAAATAATTAAGACAAAACATTTCAAACAAATTACCTAATATTAAATAAAAGGAAAACAAAAAAACACATCAAAACTTAAATGCGCATAAATAATGTTTCAATTTTTCGATTAGCATGTACGAAAATTCATCAAACTTAAAGAAAACCAAACCTAAAAACAAAACCTCATTACTTTTGTATTCGATGGCGTGCTATTTAATTGGACGAGCCTAGTAAAATGCTAGCAAAAAAAAAAGAAAAATTAAAACAAAAGAAAACATAACCTCAAAAAGAGGAAACATAACCTCGAAAAAAAAAAAACAAACAACTGCATAGGCACATAGCGCTGTCTCTTTCATTTGCATGCCAGCAGCTCGCAGCTAACCTCAAAATAAGCGTCAAGTAACCGAAAGAAAGACAGAAAGCAGTTGCAAAAAAATTGATGAAAAAAAAACTAACATAATGTAGCTATGTGCTAAACTATATAAATTAAATGTTTCTTATGTGCGTGTATTTATGTAATATATATATAATATATATATATATATATAGATAAAAATATACTTATATTAACTAATCAAGATGTGGTAGTTTTGTGCGTATGTATAGTCCCACAATATTATTACACACATCTAAACAAATTACTATAGTCTGTCTGTGCGCGTGGAAGAGTGTGCGTGTGTGTGTGCGTGTGACCATGTTGCGATATCCCGTTCGAAAAAAAAAGAAGAAAAGTACGAGATCGAGCAGCTTGTGCACGCACAAAAGCTAAGCGCTGCGTCACTCCATATACAGGGCTGTATTTCCTGTTATTACCAAATAGTTCATGATTATATTCAATTAATATATATTTATGTGGCTCGAGCTTGGAGTTTGGCAGCTGTTCGCTAACAGACCAAAGTAGCATTATATATATATATATATATATATATATATATCCCTTGCATATATATCAGCTGTAATGTCGTACATTTATTCAATTTGAATTTAATTCTTTATCTATTTTCGATTTGTTTTTGTTATAAACATAAGTTCTATATATCCGTCTGGTGTGCACTTGTTGGTTGAGAGAGGGAGAGAGAGAGAGAAACAAAAATATGATCATAAACTAACTAAAAACTAAGTTAATTGCTAGCTAAACACAGAGGAAAAAAATACAGTTAAAACCCTAAAGGAATATAAACCAATGTAATAATTTAAATAATATAACCAAGTTGGAGTGAATGTTAATGTTTATAAGTGTGTGAATGCGTGTGCGTGTGTGTGCGTGAAACAAACTCTAAATTTATATGAATGTATACTTCTAATATGTACTCTACTATTTACTTTTAAATGCTGCTACTATTATTATAATTACAATTACAATTACCAACTAAATGATAACGATAACAATGCATACAAAAAAAAAAAAAAAACGAGCAGAGAATATAGAAAAAATCAAGGATAAAACCTAAAACCACAAATACATAGTAGATGCCTAACATCTCTCCCAACTCTCTGCCCAAATCCCCCCCTCCAACGTATACATATATATTTAATTAACTTATACAATACATACCAATATTTGTACATGGAACCCAAAACTAAAATTTAAAAAAAAAACAGGATAAAGAAAAGATGCGTCGGGCATTTAGAATTTAAAATACGTTCGGGTTGCAACAGTTTTTCAGTCTTTTAACTCGCAGCAGTTCTCAACTGACAGTCCCCGAACAAAAAAAAAATAAAATAAAAATATATATATATTTAAATAAATATATTAAAAGTGAAACTAAAAAAGAAAAACAAGACGAATTGGTAGTACATTAAACGTAAAAAAAAGAGAAAAACTCAAAAAAAAAAAAAAATTGAAGTAAATTAATAAATAAACTAAATGGCAAATGTGTTTAAAATAATATTAACTGAAATAAGTGTATTTCAAATGAATCGAATAAAACAAATGAAGAAAATCGTGTGCAGCATTATTCGACTATAGTTAACCCTTGACTGCATTCAATTTGGATTTCGAGCTAATGCCCAAAAGAGTTTTGCAAAAATTGTTATATTTTTCGAAGATATTTTTTTTCAGATTTTTTTTTTTGGTTTTTAATTTTTGTTGAAATTTTTTTTTTTTTTTTCTTTTTAAGCTTAATTTTGCAATGTTTCTTTGACATATATTGTAGGTGGAGGATGGAGGGGTTAGGGGGCTTGGATTTCTAAAAATTGGTAAATTTGGGCTTGTGCTTGACGACGACAGTGCGATTGCGCGTATAATGTGGGCCATAGCCGCGCCCGAAACCGGGCAGAAGCTTAACTGGATTCGGATCACGATGGAAATTGATCATCACCTTGGCCACAATTGATATGACGCGATCCTGTTCGCCGTTCTGGTACAATGCATCCAGATAATCAAAGTATGATTCATAGCGAGCGAATTCACGCTCCCTGGGTGACAACAGCAGAATTTTGGTATCTCGTTGAAAATCGGTGATAATTTTCAATTCCTGTTCCATGAAACAACAGAACGCCAAAGATTCGGACTGCATGCAGCGAAAGAACTTATTCAATAGATCGTAATTGAATGGCTTTGTCGGTTTGCGTGGCGATTTAAATTTTGGCCTCTTCAGCTTGGAAACGAAACGCTTCGATAGCGATGGCAGGCGCTCCAGTTCGCGCATCTGGGACATCTCGTGCAGATGACGATAATCGTCGATCAGTGAATCGCGCTCGACGCCCACAGCGGCCAGCTCGTCGTCGGTGAGCATGTCCAGATTGTATAGGTTGGACAATTCGCCATCCGTTAAACTGCAGCAGCCGGTAAATTTAAGTTTTTGTTTTTCAACATCTGTGCGAAAATTGTGATTGTTTGATTGGGGGATTTTTGTTTAATTGTGTGGCCAATATTTACCATTCGTATCGCTCATGTTTGACTATTTTAGTGTATCCTATTGTCTACGGGTAGAAAATATAAATATGTTTGGTTTTAGAATAATGAGTGTGTTGTCGCTATGAATTTTTGTTGTGAATGCCGGACTAAGGTTTTTTCATTTTACAGGTCTCCTTCGATTTGAATTCAAAAACAAAGCTTTCAACTCATATTTTAGTTTAGGCTCTTTAGCTGTTGGGCTTGAACGGCTTCAAAGTTATGCCAAGCCTTTGATTTGAAAATCGATTTGAATTAACCGCCTCTCGCAGGCATCGTTCCGGCTGCCACCCAAGGTATCGATATATCGATGATAGGCACAAGCAAGCGGCTAAAGCAGATGGCGCAGATGCAACAACAAATGATTAAAGCCGACACAAGCGTGCCTTGAGTATAGTTATGAATGTCATATTGAACATAATAACTAAATACATTATTTTCATACTAAAATGCTGTCACTTGCTGACTATATTCAGTACATAATAAACTGCATTTGAATTTTGCGCGCGCCCAAGCGATACTTACTTGCTTACGATATAAACATCGCTCCGCTGGAAAGCATCGCGATATTTTACACGACTTATCGTTATGCTTGGTGTATCGATAATTATATATGTATGTGTATTTTTACCAAGAGCACAATTTTTGTTAAAATGTATAAGTTTTTGTTATTTTGTTTGAACTAATTTAATATTACCAATGAATTAAGCTGTGTTTATGTTGTGCGTGTATTGGAGTTCTTAGGTACTATAACCATGAGCAACAGCAGCAGCAATAGCGGCTGAACATATTTATGTTTGTTTTCTTTTATTTCTATTATTTTGTTGTTGTTGTTGTTTGTTTTGACGCAGTGATTGCGCGTTGGGGTTAAGGTTATTTATGAAAATTAGATGCGATCACGATTGCCAACATGTCCGAGGTACGCATCCGACCCCGTCAAGTGCTCGTGCTCATCATAGTGTTTATCTTTGTGCTGCTCATGGTGCATCGTAACGGTAAACGCACCTGCCAGGGCCCCGAATACCTGCAGGCCATGTACACAAAATCTCTGACGGACACGTTGCCCAAAATCTATGCCATAACGCCGACGTATGCGCGGCCCGCACAAAAAGCCGAACTGACCAGGTGAGTGGCAAACATTTTGTGAGCGGAAGGCAAATAAATAATAATCCATTCAATTGTAGGCTCTCGCATTTGTTTATGCTGGTGCCAAATCTGCACTGGATCATTGTTGAGGATGCCAATAGCACAACGGCTCTGGTGCGGAATGTGCTGTTGCGCGCCGGTCTGACGAATCGGTTTACCCAGCTGAATATCAAGACGCCGCCCGAATTTAAGCTGCAGGGCAAGGATCCCAATTGGATAAAGCCACGTGGCGTGGAGCAGCGCAATCTGGCATTAAACTGGCTGCGCAGCCACGCCGATGTGGATCGTCATGCGATTGTCTTCTTTATGGACGATGACAACTCCTATGCGCTGGAGCTGTTTGTTGAAATGTCGAAAATCAAGCCGGGACGTGTGGGCATTTGGCCCGTCGGCCTGGTCGGCGGTCTGATGGTGGAACGGCCGCTGCTCAATGAGGACAACAAAGTGATTGGCTTCAACGCTGCTTGGCGGCCGGAGCGTCCATTTCCCATTGATATGGCAGCGTTTGCCATCAGCATGGATCTGTTCTTCAAGTATCCACAGGCCGCCTTCTCCTATGAGGTGCAGCGCGGCTATCAGGAAAGCGAAATCCTTCGCTATCTGACCACAAGTGATCAGCTGCAGCCGCTGGCCAACAATTGTCGCGATGTTCTCGTCTGGCATACGCGCACCGAGAAAACCAAACTCAACGCCGAGGAGATGCTCCAACGCCAGGGCAAACGCTCCGACGAGGGCATTGAGGTTTAGGCACCGGATCCATCCAAGAATTTATGTATGTTTTCTATTTTTTGCCTCAACTCAGTCTATTGTGTATTATATTTGTATTCTTGTTGGCCAGTGTCCAATTAAAAATGATGTCAAGTAACATATCATAAGAAACTAAATGTGTTCATAGCTGGTCTATTGTTTCCACCGAACACATTTCCAAATATATTTTATTCGAGTTACTTTTAAAAACTGCCAATTACTATTTTAAGTTAATTCTGTTTCACACACGTAATATGCAACATAGATATGTAAGAACAGGCATATATTTTCTAGATCAGCATTAACAGTCGATCCGAGTCGATCTAGCCATGTCCGCCCGTCTGAAAGTCTGTCCGTCTGCGTCGATCTAAGAACCTCCTAATGCCCGCGCAGTACAAATTTGTGTCCGATAGTTGATAACTCGACCCGGCGTCCAAGCAATCAATGTCTTTTGTGCAAATCTCTTAGGTTTTGAGAGCTAATCTAGTATCTAGAGATCAAGTATTTTTTCATTTGATGTGTGCTGCTATTTAAATAATTACACCCCTGCAGAGGATATTATAATTTTGTCATGAAATATGTGACGCATAGGAAGGAGACATCTCCGATCCCATAAAGTATATAACTTCTTGATCAGTATCAACAGCCGAGTCTGTCTGTGTCTATGCGAACCAGTCTCTCAGTTGTAAGGCTATCGTCGTGAGACTTTGCAGCAGTGCCTCTTTCTATATCATATTGCTGCCATAGGAGAGATCGGTCGAAAATTAAGTTGTGTGAACAACTTTTTGCTAATCAAGATATCTTAACCATACTTGGCATTAACTACTTTGCCTGTGCTTCTGAGATACGATCAAAGCACTATGAGCATTGTGAAACGGTTGGCTCTGCAAGGGTATTAAGTCTTCGGCGTGCCGAAGACAGCCTTTCTTGCTCGTTGTTTAATAACTTAACCTACATAGACAAAGGTAAGGTAGCTGACAACATTCTTCTGGGTTCTGGGTTCGGTCGAAGATGAAGTTTTTGTATTGAACTTTTTATCAAGACCTCAATACCTTATTTTTCGATCTATAGCAGGAATCGGTCGAAAATGAGTTTATGTATGGCAAAATATATAGATAGTTCCAAGATATTTTTATCGAACTTAGCTTTAACAAACTATTCTGACATATCCACAATATCATAAGCCAGGTATTAAATCTCCGACGTGACGAAGATATCCTGACTGACTTTATACATTCAAAATTTCTAAACTCAGCTCCAATTGATTTTTGTCAAAACTATCACGAGATCCAGTTTCAATTCTAAAGCTCTAAAATGGACATATTTTCTGTTGTTATACCGTTTTCAGATCACAGAGTCGCATTAGAAAATCCTCAAATTTGATCCTAACTATTTCTGTGCATTATATTTCTTGATGTTAAGATCTGACTTTATGTGAAAATTTGGAATTTTCAGAAAATCAAAAATCGAGATTCACTCAGGTGTAAATACCCTAGAATAACTGCAACTACCCTATAATAATACTGCTCAAAGGGTATTTTTATATCTGTTCAACGATCGCAAAACCTTTACGAAAACCAGCTGAAGCCAAACCCAAAAACGAACCGGTTTGCAAATGTGTTTCTTTTCATAAAAAAAAAAAAATAAATAAAATTTTCTTTGATAAATACGACTTTATTCTCCAACGATTCAGTTTCGTGGTTAATTCTTCTTCTTTTTGTTTTTTGTTGTTCTTTCAGTTATTCTTATTGAATTCGAGTTTTGTGTCTTGTAAAAAGCCACACATTTGAAGTTTTTGTGCCAATTGTTTTTCATGTTGAATTTCATTTCATTTTCTGGCCATATTTTATATGCTGCGCTCCCGAAAGCAGTTCCAAATTTGTTCGATCATATACATATAATTACAATTTTGTTGTTGTGTAGCTTTTTGATTGTTGATAGTTTTCGATTTCTTCTTTTGAATTCATTAAATTTCTTATATAAACACACAAAAAATGTTTTGTTTGGTTACGTTTTTTTTGTTTTTTGCATTCAATTTCTTACATCTTTTTAGATTTTGTTTTCTTTTTGTTTTGTTTGTATAATATTTGTATATATTATTTAGATTCATATTTATATAGTAGGTAAAAAAGCTCTGAGAAGGCGCTTGGCTTAACTGGCAACAGAAGCTACAAAAGCTTTTGGCAAACATCTACAAAACAGGACGAACCGAGGATCCAAATTAAAAACAAAAGAACAAAGTAAACGAAAAATGCTTTTCCCTTTTTTTTTTTTTAATATATATTTATGTAGTTCTTGGTGTATACATATAATTTTTTTTTTCAAGCTTTTCATGTTTTGTTTTTTATTCGTGTAAAAAAAAAAATACTTACACATTTAATTTCAATACATGTACATATATATTCATTATTTAAATATTTATTATTTAAATCCTTACTTACAAATTGTTGTATTTCTTTTCTTTTTTTTTTTTTTACATACACATATAAAATCTAAATAAAAAGGGTGGAGGAAATAACTTGAAAATTGTAATTAATTAAGACTGAGTACATAATTTCATAATTTGCATTTGTTGCTGGCTTTTCATTTTTAAATGTTCTTTACAGAATGTCATGAAAATAGAACTTAAGAGAATTAGAGAGTAATTAAAACAAAATTAATACGAATTGTTTGGCATTGTCGTAGTTGATTTCAGCTTATTGAAACTTGCATTTAACACACACACATAATTAAACATTTACGCTTTGAATTATGCATTCTATTTAGTACACATTCATTGAAATATCTTAATTATGTTTATATTGAACAGCAAATTCTCTTTTCTTTCTAATATTTCATCATTTTTCCATATTCTCATCTTTGTTTTGGCAGTTTTCAAAAGCAAATCGGTTGCAGTTGTTGTCGCAACTGTACTTGCCAAGCAGTGCAACTTTTGTCGCAACTGTACTTGCCAAGCAGTTGATCGTTTGTTTGAAGCTACATGGCAGAGCAACGGTGCTTGCAAAACGCTAAGCAGTTGCATTCTCTGTCGTAACTGTACTTCTTGTTAGCCTTTTCATATCATCGCATTTAAATTGAGCATTTTGTTTATAACTAACATACATTTTATATTTGTATATATCTATGTGATTCGTACGGTTCATTAAGTATATCAATTTACCAATAGGAAACCAAAATTTGAATGTGAATGAATTCTTAACTAAAATTGGGTTCAGTAATTGTTTGTCATGTTCGTGTTTTTAGAAACAAATGCCCGCAAAGTCTTTTGTTTAAGTGGTTTAAGTACTACGAAATTAATGGGTGAACGTGGTTATCGAAAAGAACTTTGTGAAAATCCTTGAACTTAATTGTAAAACTTATTTATGGCATGTTTAAGTTAGTTAAACTAATATTTTGTGTATGATTCTAAACCCATTCTCTTGCTCCTTGCCCCATCTCATTTAAATGCTAAATAAATGTAATAATTAATTCATTTTTGTTCATCATTTTTTTAAGGCATTAATTTAAGTTTTAATTTTGTTTTGATCTTAAGCTAAATTGTTAAATATTTTGTTGAGAATCCAGTCAGCCATATATAGTCAATAATATAGTCTGAAGAATCAATACAAAAAAAAAGCAAGGCAGCAAAAACAAAGTGAAGCAACATGGACATATGAGTGTATTTTGTGTGTGTGTGTGTTGTAGTGAGCTTAAAATATTATTTATGTATGCTTTAGATATCGTATATATAGTAAGACATTTAGTTAAGATTGTATAGAACTTAAATTTGAACTGAACACCAACTCATATGCCAATGAAAAACAGTATTCTTAACGCTGTTCCCACAGCTTTGGCTTTGGTTTTGCTGCTGTAATTCGCAACTTGTTCGTGTCGTTTATTCGGCATTTGTGGGTGGACAGGTAATTGGGTTAGTCATGTTTGTGGTTTGGTGCTGCGGCTCCTTCTATACTATTTGCGAAAGTGTGAGGGTTTGGGGGTTGGGCGACTTTTCAATACTTTTCTCTGTTGCAAGTTTTGTGCACGTCGTTTTTGTTGCAGCTCGTTTTGGTCGCGTCGCTTACACCGCCGAATTTTTGCCAATGATTTCGCCGCTGCGCGAATGCACAAAGCGCCCGTCGAATTCGATGGTTGAGTTTTGTTTCAAGCTGCCGGTGGGTGTGCGCAGTGGCTCCTTTTCGTCCCTGTGAAGTGGAGAGCTTGGTATTAGTGAAGAGAACTTGATATCAAATCTAGAGTACGAAAGAGCGCAAGAGCCGAAGAGGCTAGATCAGTCAGCTAATAGAAGCAAAGCCAACGAAAGCTTAGTGCTACAGGACACACAACCATGCCTAGTTTGCTACTTACCACGGACATAAGCTAAATGCTACAAGGCTTAAGAGCTAGGACCAAAGCTACATGCGGTGCCTGCTGATCAGATGTGCTATGAATACAGTGTTGGAAAACGAAAAAAGAGCGCGCAAAAAGATACTACGGAAGCGAGAAATAGCAGAGAGAAGTGCTGCAAGGCTACGCAAAAACAAAAATGATGCAAACAATACGATCAATGTACGTACAATGGAGATGTCACTGGTGAGCCGCCGAGCTTAACTGGCGGCGGCAGTGGTAACGGTGATGGTGGTGGCTCCTTAACCAGCTGTCCACTGCAATAAGTTAGCGGGAAACGCCAACCATAAAGACTGCTTGGTTAGATGATGGTAATTTGGATGGTATTTTTTTTTTTGTTTTTTGTTTTCGATTCATATTTTATCGATTTAATTTTTTTAGATTTTGTTGGATTTTTGATAGATTTGGTTGGTTGGTTTTGTGTTGAATGATTTTGATTGATTCGTACAGTACGTATATGTGAGTTTGATGTGGTAACAAGTTTGGAAAATCAAGAGAGAGAGTATAGATAGTATGGAGAGTCGATAAATGTGATAATGTTGTGAATGCTTTTATTTTGTTTTTTTTTTTTTTTTAAATATGAATGTGTGTTTGTTGTCTGTGACTCGTATTAATGATTGATGTGCTGATGAACATAACAAAGGGAAGTCAAACAATGTACGATAAACATAATATATTTGAATACAAAAAAATATATCTAGCTGCAGCCAGTACCAGTAAGTACTTTAGAGCAAAAGAGGTACTATACTAAATAGTATTAAATGGTAGACAAGGCACTTGATAGATGTTCGAATGAAAGGGTGGCTTTTGTTTTAGACCGAGCAAAATCTAGATCTTGATAGCTGGCTGCATACTATTTAACTATATTTGAGCTATAAACACATTCCACTGGTCTTTATTCGTGTCTCTCAGCGAATGTTCATTCAAAATGTGTGTGCGTATTATTATATTTTACTGGAAACGATTAGGTCTAACTCTCTAAGTCTCTGCCGGAGTGACAGCATTTATGAATAGAAAGGCAGATTCATTTGGGGTTCAATTTTATTGTCATTTGGCACATTCTTTCAATGATGACATCAACTAGCTATTCACTGGTCATCATTCTTGTCATTTATAGTTAAGCTCACGAAAACGGACGAGAAGCGCATTCCGAATACAAGCATCGCTTTTTTGATTTTAACACACGCTTTGAATGATTACAACATTCGGCCAGTGGAATTCGTTATGGTACACAAAAATAATGAAAAGTACACACACACACACAAACACACAACGGTAAAGTGTAAAGTAAAAGTGTTGACTAACGAAGTGAGGAACGAACAGATGATTTGATACAGAACAATACTGTAGCTAAAATTGAAAATAAGCTTTTGTGTTTTCTTGTATTGTATGGTCTAATAGAAAAAAGAATACGGTATATCGTCTGTTTTATGTGGCGTGTAAACATATTTAATATTGCACTAGAAATGAGAATTAATAATCGAAATACTTGTAACTAAAAATGGGGCGGGGTGAAGGAGAATTTTGTTTGGTGAGAAGCTGTTGCTTTCTTTTTCGTTTTTTTTTTGGTTCTTGGCTCAAACGAATATCAGTGAATTTCGATTGAACAATAACGATTTCGGACGCGCATAGACCCAATTGTATTCGAAATCCGGGCGTTGAGAATTTTGGCTTTGGTCGAATTTGTTTTGAGCGGTGCAAATCGAAAAGAGGTAGAAAAATACACAAACAAACGAACAAAGATTTAATGCAAATTATTGGAATTGGGGGTATTTTTAGTATTTTTTTTTGCTTTTTTTTTTTTTTTATATTTTGTAAATTCGTATCATTTTTAGTGCAATATTATGTGATTTGAAAGACCCAACCGAGCCCCGCTAGTTTATAGGGTATCTATAGATGCTTACCTGCCCAGCTTGGCCTCGTCATCGATCTCCGAAGGCGAACGCTTGGCCTTGCGGCACATGGCTGCCATGACGCCCATGTGCACGGTCACACAACACAGAAGATCCACAATGAAGAGTAGAAGAAGCACGCCGCCAACGGCAATGCCCACAATTGCCGCCGAGGAGAGAACCTGACGTTCCGCCACTTGGATGACATCGATGCCTGTGTGGAAGAGAAATTGGTTGTTTTTTTTTTTTTGTGGGGGGAGGGAAAAGGAGCGTGTGAGGGGATGGTAGAGTGCTTGATTAGTAAATTGTCATTCAAGTCTTGCATATAGAGCTAATAAATAGTGGTATATATTTAATACTAAATTAAATACTATAGCATAGTTCAGCTATTGGCTGCATTAACTTTTCAACTCGAGTTACAAACTTGCTTCTCATCTTGCTCAGCAATAAACACTTTCTTCTAAATGTGTGGAATTTGTTTTCTTTTCTTTTTTAGTATGATTTCATATTGAGTTCGAGTTTTGTACAAACATATTTTACATTTTTGTGTGTGTATTTGAAAAAAAAAAAAAAACAAAAATCAAATTAAAATTGGGCATGTTAAGTAAAAAAAAGCTAAAAACAAAAAACAGCTAAATATTAAATACATTTTATAAAGAGAAATTAAAAGTTAATAGTACACCAATTCGATATGAAATAAAAAAAGTAGTTTCGATAAATTATCGATCAGCAAGTGAAACAAATAAAAGAAGGTATAAATAAAACATGCAGCCTTCAATGGGGCAGGGAGAGACGTATGTATATAGAGAGCAGGTTAGACAAAGTCAGAGTAAGAGAGAGAGAGAGAGAGAGAGAGAGAGAGAGAGAGAGAGAAAGAGAGAGAGAGAGAGCGGCAGAGAGAGAGTGAGTGAGAAAGCGCACGATGAGGCAGGAAAACATAAGAGCTTTGCTTTAAATGCAAGGACAAAGAAGAAACGCCAATAAGCCAAAAAATATACAAGCAATAGCATTGTTTATATCAACTTAGGATTCAAAGCTTTTCTTTGTACAAGGAATGCGTATGTATGTGTGTGAGTGTGTGAAGCAGTTTTGTGTGTACATAACGATAACGATAACGATAACATTTAAAGAATTGTAAATTTTTTAATACAAATTTGCAAGTGCGCTCTGTTTACCAATTTGCAAAAAACATTAACAAAATTGATTTTTTTTTGTGTTTACAAAAATTGCTAAAAATATCTAATTACTTGATTTTGAGTGCTGCACGTTTTAAATATATATATAAATTTATATGTCGTTCGGGAGCTACAACTAAACTTAATAAAATTGATAAGAAAATGTTGTATTTAGTTAGTAACATTTTGTTGTTTGTGGATTAGAGTGGGATTCGCTTCCCGTTATGCTGTTTTGTATTGTTTTTATGTTAGTCGCTTGTTAAATTATAATCGAATGCGTTTTGTGTTATAATCGGTTAATTTTGTGAATTATTGAATATATAAATGCATGTGTATTAAACTATTATTAATTATTTAAACGAGCTAATTTGTTGCATAACCATATTACCTGTCGGTATATCACACCTGGCAGCTGTGCAGCGGTAATCGTTTTAAACGTTATTATCAGCAAACGTTATTAATAACAATTTTCATGGATCGATTAATTTATCGATCGCTACAAGCGCACTGCAGCCCTGTGCGCTTTGAACACCTTTTATAACATATACACACACACATACACGCATACGCATACGCATACACACATAGAAGAGGCTCTTGTTTGTTAAAGTTGTCTTTATTATCCAAAATGAACTGCTTACTTTTTAGTTTTTGTTTTTCGTTTTGCTTTAAAGACTGCTTACAACATTTATGACACATATGCATTTTTACTTTTTCTACTGCTTGGTGTGTAGGTGTGTTTGGGTGTGTGTGGTCGTGTGTGACTGAGAGCACCTTAGATATATCCTTTAATCTCTCTTTCAAACATTGGTCACCTGTTCTTATGCTTCATGGTTAAGTGTTCACTGTTCGTCATATATTTGATAGTTACCCAGGCCTAAGCCTGGTACATTTAGACTGGCAACAAGAATTTGAGAAATTCTGTCCACTTTTACAGAATGTTTACACTTATAGAAAAAAAAAAACAGTGCCATAATACATAGTTAGCTGCAGCTAATCTAGTATGCATGTGAGTTATGAGCCGTGTGGCATTCAACTTATGTACAGTTCTGCGTTAGTTAGATTCTAGTTTAAACTGATTTATCCACTGCTTGTCCTACAGCTAACGCCTCTCCCGGCGAACCTCAAGCTATTTGGCCAGTCATTTATGTGTATTTATTTTCGTATCATTTTAGGTTAATATTTATTTATGCCTTTCAAAGCTAGGTAAAAAAAAAAGACAACACGATACGATACGATCTGCTCAGCAACGTCAGGCGGGCTGAATTATTCACTAACTATGGTAAGTATATAACTTTTGTATATTGTAAAGTTACAATTTGGAATTATGTTTCACGATATATATGTATATGTATATATATATATATATTTTGCTAGAAAAAGTTGTTGTTTTTGACTAAAAATTGTATACAAGGAATATTTTATCTAAATTAAACTGCTTTGTCTTTGCTTTTGAAGTATTTTTTTTTTTTATGTTCTTAGTTCGATTTTTATCATTTCTAAGCACACGTAATAGATGCACATATATATGTAACTAGTTATATACATACATATGCATATAAATATGGTTTATATACCTTAATTCAATGAGCACAAACATTTACAAAATTTCAATACTTTAAGCTTAATACACCATGTGAAAAAAATTCGTAGTTGGAAACATGCGTTTGGGGTTGTAAAGGGTTCCGTGGGCTACGCTTGGTTATCTTTGAGTCTAAATCAGCCCTTAATATGGATTCAAACTTGGTATTCACTAAGTTTATGTCTTTATGTTTTTTATTTTCATTTTTTTTTGGGTTTTTTGTTTTTTGTTTTTATATTACTTGTAGTTACTTATTGTCCCCTTAACGTATACGTTCAATAAAAAAAAAAAAACAAACAGCTCTTAAGTCACATACTAGAAAAACCCAAAACTTGAAACGGACAACTTGGGATTGACTGGCTTTATAACGGTGGTTTTTTTTTTTCTAGCAAAACGAAGGAAGCATAGGATACTTATCGTTGGCTATATAAAAGAACTGCCAGTTGTATAGTTGTATCTAACAGAAACGTTTTTATAAAACTTCAGAGGCTTATTTGCAATTTCAGTTTCGAATCTATTCGACAGTTTTGTCCAGATCACAGCTAAGATTGCGATGAAAAAGAAACTGTTATTCTCGCTGGAAAAAAGCTATGATCTAGCTATAAATGAAGAATTGAATCGAAAGTGAATGCACTGGGCTGCCCCTTATATGTTTTGCCACATCTACTAACGATCTAGTTTGGGCTTTGTTATATAATTACTTATAATACTCTCTAATAAAATGTTTTTTCGCGTATGAATATAAACATTAATTGCTTTGGCTTGGCAGTGCTTTATCTACATGACGCATTGCTATCAAATTTTGCATACTAAACAACGGAAAACTGAGCAGCTTTTATAAGGTAGTTACGTGGGTAAGGCAAATGGAACAGAACTGACCTTTAGTACATACATATGTGACGAATGAAATGGTGCATACATATGTCTGCCATACGCACTAAAACTCTAAATAAATCTTCGTATGGCTTAACAAGTTGGTGATACTTATGTTTAAAAACGCGTTTCTCTGTGCCTAAGTACTTGTATATATGGTATATGCTTAAACGTTCGTATTTTTTTTTTTTTTTTTTTGGCATTTAGCAGTTTGTATTTTGTACATTGAATGGAATCATATAGTGTTTTTGATAGCGCTGATATTTTGTAAACACCCTAGTGATAAGTAATTATCATATGTGGTATTCATGTTGGTACGAAATACATTCACGTTTATAGCTCAACATGCTATATATGTATATGTTTTGTCTGTGTATTTCATATTTGGTTTTTTCTTTTTGGTATTTTCCTTATTATATACAAATTGTCGACAGATTAATGAAAAAAAAATAAAAATAACATAAAATAAAACAAAACGAAACAAAAATTTTGCAGCGGCAGGCTTGAAGCATCATCCTCCGGTTGTTCCGTGCACTGCTTGGTGTACTGCTTGTTACAAGCGCTTAAGCAGTGCGTGTCGACATCAAAAGCATCAGCAACAGCAGCGGCATCGCGAGCAGTTGTGCATTGTTGGCAAGCAGTCGTTTCGTGGCGCTGCTTGATGAATACGGATACGGTTTGTCTGTTTTTTTTTTCGACGGATGTGGGGAGGGAGGAACAGTTTGACGTAGAGGTTCGGAACAGGTTCAGTTTGTGCGGCAGCAGTTTACAGTGTTTTGTTTTTATTGTTGTTGGATTTAATTTTGTTTTTAAATGGTTTGGTATCATAGCATTCGATTTGGGGATTGTTTTTGTTGTTTTTTTTTTTTTTTTTTTTTTTTGTGTTTCACACAGCGTAAAAGAGAGAAAAAACAAAGAAAAGTAGTAGAAGAAAAAAGGAAGAAAAGGAAACACACAAAAGAATATTTTTTGTTGGTTTTCTTTCTTACTTGATTGTTTTGCAATTTAAATAGATCAAGAGACGACGACATTGACATTTTGCTAAGACTCAAACATAATGTGGGTGTGTCTTATATATATATAAATATATACATGTGTGTGTGTGTGTATTGTGGGCGTGAGTATTCAATTTGAGGTTAGTTGGTAAGAGTATTTCTTTGCTGGGTACACACAATGCAGATTGCACTGCTTGCTTTCAGTACGAGAGCTACTCTCAAAGTGTTACAGTTTTTAGACCTACTGTGTTAGAGTGTTAATTTTAGCTATTAGTAGATTATGCTATGCTGTTATTATATATAGATGCAGCCACTTAATATTTGGTATGACATAGTTAGTATAAGTTAAATAAATTAGGCATAAATACATAAAATATAGGACATGAATATGTTATGAGAAGGCATAGGGAATATGTATGAGAGAGCTGTACAGCAAGTTGAATAATATAATAGACACACACGCACACATACACAAATATATACTGCAAAATAACGATGGTTCGCAAAACTATCGATAGTTCTAGCATGAATGTGAAGTGAATTAATGAGTTGATACGAGTCTAATGTTGATCAATTAAGAGTGTTCTTATTTGACTCTGTTTCAGATCAATCTTAATTACTTTAACTAAAATAAACATGTTTACGTAGACGATAGTTTTATCGATAGTTTTGCAGCTCAGTCAGCTACACAAGAACATAAGAGTGCACAATATGTATGAAAAAAGAGATCAAGCAGCTAATTAAAATGAGTGTGATCTATGATGAAAGAGACACACACACAGTTACAGAAAGAGAGCGAGAAAGAGAGATAGAGAGAGTGAGAGAAAGACACAAGTAGCGAGACGTAGAGCCAACAAACATAACACAATGTTGCTTATGAGTATTCAAAAATGAAACAGTTGCCATTGCAAATTATGATTGTTTTTTTTTTTTTTTGTTTTTCAATATTTATTCATTAATGTTTTTTGTTTTCAATTTAATAATGTTGTTGCTTAATACAAAATTTAACTAAAGAAATAGTCGCAGTACATACAAAGGGAAAAAATGTAGAATATATAAGTAAAAATTATGAAGCAAACTAATGGGCAATACGAAGTTTTACGAACTATATTCAAATATGTATTACAATTAACAAAAGTATATTAATTTCATTTTAGAAGTTGTATTTCTTCTTCTTTTTTTTTTAATATATATTAAAAATTAGCTGTTACAAATATGCATTTAAAATTCAAAATATGATGAATGCACACACACAAAAATATAAAAAAATAATTTGACTAATTTTAATAATTTTTATTTCATTTTTAAATTAATAATTAAGTAAATGCTTATGAATTGTAGTTTAAAAAAAACTCAGACGATACACATACTAAAAAAAAAAAAAACACGGTAAACAAAAGAGAGCACGCAGTACACGGAAGAGTGTGGGAGAGTATGAGCGGGAGAGCGGGAGAGAGCACAGCTCACCAGACGATTGCATATTGAATTCTTTGATGTTGTGTATGTGGTGAGTGTGTGTGTGTGTGTGTGCGTGTGCGTGTGTGTTTGTGAACAAATTTGAACTTATATAATGCTTATCCAATGCATTTGCGTATTCCTTGACTTAGCTCAGTTTGGAGTACTTAAAATAAGTGTTGCAAAACGCTAGCTGATCGGACAAAATTGCCAGCAAAAGCGACTTGTTTTTGCTTTTATTTGGAATGTAAATCGCTTTTGAAAATGATTGTGTGTACAATTTTGGGTAGGGGTTACTAAGGGGTTGGGGTACGGTACAAAGTTAGCATTAGGTGTTAGCTAGACGTAAACGCACAAAAGCATGCAACAAAAATTGTGTTTGACACAGCACAAAAAAGTTCACGACATTTGCAACAAAGAAACAAAGTAATAAACATCTTCATACGGCGAATTCGCAAATCAAGAAATTGCACTGTAAAAAACAACTGGGATCGAGTTTAACAATTACAAAGTATTTATAGCACACACACATACACACCAAAGAAAAAAAAAAAACAGGAAGAAAACGAGTAGAGATTACTGAGTAGACTGGGAGAAAATTAATGAACACACTGAGATAAAAACAGAAGTGACATTGGAAACGCAAAAAATAAACACTACAAAAATGTATGCAAAAGTAATTGTACTCGCTATTTGTAAAACGCATGTTGTATAAATATATATGATATTAGATACGTTAAATAGAGCGATCAAAAATAGTTATACATATATATTTGTATATATATATATATATACCGATTTATATATATTTAAATATGTCTATATGTATATTGATAGATAGTATGCAAGTATTTCAAGAAGTTGTGTAAGTATTTTTGCTGATCTTGTTGTTTTGCTCAAAGATCGATAACGCGATCGATAACGTGTGATCGTATTCGATTCGATTCGATTCGTTTCCAAGTTTATGTTCGATTTTCTTCTGTTTTGTTTTCTTTTTGCTTCTTGTCGACAGATATTCAATTACATAGATTATGCAAATGGTTCATGATCATCAAGTAAAACGAAACAAATCGATATCGATCGATTTGTTTTGCCTTACACTAACATTGAGGTTAGGACACTAAATAAGGTAATGCTGATTGTTGTGGCCAGCGCAATGATTGTTGTTGTTGCTGTTGTTGTTGATGTTGTTGTTCTTGTTGCTGTTCTTGTTGTTGTGATTGTGAGTTGTTTGTGTAGCGAACTGACGCCGGAATTGAAGCCGGCCGAATAGAGCAATGTGCCAAGATTGTTATTAGCTGAATCGGACTCACCTCTGGTCGTTTTCATAATGATAGATGCCGGCGATGAATAGCCGATGGCATTGTGTGCCTTCAGCTCGATGCGATAATACGTATTGCCGCTCAGATCGGACATCTGATACGATGTGGTCTCCACAACCTCGACCGTATTGCAGCGATTCTCCAGCTCGTGCCAGGTGCCGGCCATCTTAACGCCCTGAAGGGATCAAGTACAAATTAGTTACCAAATTAGTTGCCGACTCAATTATTTGTATTAAATTTTATTTGAAAGTGCACTTACCGGACAGTACTTGATCTGGTAGCGATCGATGGGCTCACCATTGTCAGCGGGCACGCCCCAGCGAAGCTCAAAGTGATCCGAATAGGGTGACACGACGACCGGTTCCTCCTTATCGTTCTGTACGGGGCTGTGCAATGGCTTGGGCTCCTCGGGCGCGGAACGACGCGGCGTCGATTGCTGTTGATTCACACCCCAATTGCCAAGACCGACCTGGTTGCGTGCCGCAAAACGGAAACTGTACATGGTCTGTGGACGCAGTCCCTCAACAATGTACGGCGAGTCGGGTGACCAGCTGCGATTGAGAGCCGTCGACCAGTCCGGATTGAGTGCCTCCTTGTATTGTACACTGAACGCCAGTATGGGCAGGCCGAGTTCTGTGGCCGGGCCGCGTATATCGAAGGTGATGGTGGTCGCCGTCAGCTGGCGGGGCACAGCTGCCGATACAAAGTCCGGTACGCGCGCCTCCTTCAGCTGCATATCGTGCTCGGCAGAGCCATGGATATTGGTGGCAATGCACTTGTAGGCGGAATAATATTGCCGGGTCACTGGATGCACAATGAGATCGCTGCGTGGTCCGGTGCCTTCGATCTTGAGATTCGTGTCATACAGATCCTTAATGTTGCGTCCGTTCCAGCGCCATTCGATGGTCGCATTCGGTATGCCCATAGCCAAGCAGCTAAGATTTGCCATGCGCTGTTCCCAGCTGAATACCGGCGGCAATTCCTTCATGTGCGAAAAATCTGGCGGGAATTCAACGGCAATGTGTCCGGTCTTGTAGGCGGTGTCACCCTTGTTGCTGGCAATGCACTGATACAAGCCGTCGTCTGTGCGCTGGGAGCGTGCAATTCGCAGGGTGCCGGTGCTCTCGCCACGTTCCTCATCAAAATATTGCTCGAGGGTGATGCGTTCATCGTCTATTTGGACGCCAGCCGTGTACTGCTGTTCGGTGCCCCAACGACGGAAGGTGATGGCCGGTGCGGGACGTCCCTTGGAGCGGCAGGTGATGGCAATTTCCTTGCCACTGACACCCGTCACATTGTACAGCTCATAGACAGAGGGGCGGACGAGCACATTTAGCTTGGTCTTCTGATCCACAACGCCGGCCGCGTTCTTGGCAATGCACGTATAGGTATCGTAATCCTCCTGGGTAACCGAGCTAATGGTCAACAGACCCGTTTGGGCATCAACCTTGAAGCGGTCCGCATTGGCCACATTCAGCTGCACAGAGTCCTTGATCCAGCTTATCTCCGGCACCGGTTTACCAGTTGCCGTGCAATTGGCGGCAAACGGTTTGCCCTCAACAGCCTCCAGTGTGGCGGGCAGATGTGTTATTACCGGACCGATATAGACTTCCACTCGAATGGTGCGCTCCAGCAGTTCGCCCGTCTCAATGACTGCCGCACGACAGGTGTAGATGCCGTCATCTGTTTCGGCCACGTCGCGTATGAGCAGGCCATGTGTCTGCACCACGTGCTTCGAATCTGTGCGTATCTGTGGCGGTAAGAGAAGTGTCAGTGTGTGTGAGTGAGTGGGGCGGGGTCAGGTTGTCTGGTGTTGCATAACTTACCGGATCGCCATTGCGCAGCCAGTCAATGGTTGGATTGGGATCGGCTTTCACCTCGCACTTGACCACGTAATCATCGCCCAGTATAGGAAATTGATTCTCTGGCGCATTTGTCCAGGTAATAGCCACTGGAAAGGAGAACCGAGAAAAGGGGTAAGTGAAATGAGTATAGTAGTTGCAGCTCTAGTTTTTCCAGTTAAATGTCAAACAAATTTCTAGACAAGTTGTTGACATTAGTAGCTAACGTGGCGTATACGTAATATAATTTTAAACAAACTCTCACGTTCACAAGAAAGCTAAACAAATATCGAGCACAAAATCCCTGATATGTGCACGTATTTGTTTGCTAGAATCCAAGCAGCCAAGTAACGAGTCATTCAGCTAACCCAAAACATGAACCAAGACCAACAACTTGCCACAATCCACGCAATGCGCTCCAAGGGTCACTAACGAGCCGGACGACGTCGTCGTGCTCGTCTTTTCGAGGCATGCCAATAAATCTCTGTTGCAGCAGCAGCAGCAGTAGAAATTGAAAAAATTGCAAACTGAAATTCCTAAATCAAATACTTGCGCACAATCCAAACACAAACAGGCAACGACCAAATGGACACAGCGGAGTGCTGGGCCGGGTGAAGCAGCTTGGACAGCCAGTCAGCCAGCAAATCGAAGCTGAGGGTTCAAAGTTAAGGCGCAAACTACAATATTTTACACAACCAACTGTTTAAATATATCCACAGAGAGCTGTGCAGAAATTCCCTTCCAACGCTGGTTACCCACGTTGGGCGCCAAACATTCGCATCGGGGTCGCTCAGGTGCAGCTGCTATTGCCACAGTTCAATGACTTCCTGCGATTCATTTGGCTTAATGATAGCTTGTAAATTGTTATTGAATTGCGTTTTTACTGCAATTAAGTTGATGCGATTACCAAGAGTGCATAAATACTAATTAAGAGTTTTGGAAATATGAACTAAGCTGCGTCAAGTCCGAGGCGATTTCAATGAGGAGTTTTGGCTCTTGGGATTTACTTTGCAATTCAATTTTGCTTACCACTGTTTCAGGGTTCGAACGTACTTAAAGTTCTTTTGAAATATATTAATATGAAAAGGTTCAGCTTTCTAGCTGTTCTCATTTTACAGAAACGCAACCGATTTACTTTATAAATGCACAGATAAAGGCTGAAATTGTTTTCTGTAAATTTCCGAGCCCATAAGGTATCTTAATTTCGTCTATCTATCTATCCGTTCTTCCAACCCCTTTGACCGCCTTGACTTCTGGAAGTAAAGTAGCTAAATCAAATCTCTATTAGCTTGCACTGTTTGCTAGATCTCGAGCTGAATTCAAATTGACATTGATATGCTCTATTTTCGTTTACCACACCTTGGGCTTTATGAGCCGCAGTGTTCAGTGTATTTCGTAGCTAACAGGACCACTCTTAAAGCTTTTATAGTCTCTTCTGCAACTCAATTAAATACCTAAATTTGAGCAGACTTCGAAACAGTACGATTATCAAGAAATGCCATAAATAACAAAATCCAAGTTCAAGTTTCTAAGCAATTGTGAACATCCGTTACAAATCTTTAGTATTTTGAGCTATTTTCTGCTTCTTAAATTCAGGAAGTTGAAAACAGTTATAGAAAAAGTGCTGCCTACTTTTTGGGTGCGGCCAAATTGTAGATACATTTGCGTGGCAGGTGTTAAGTAAAAATGAAATATATAAAAAATGCCAATCTGTTGCTGAAAGGGGATAAAGTTGGGAGGTGGCTTAAGATGTCGAAGGGGTTTTTGGCGTTTTCGTGGGAGAGGAGGTCTTGAGTTGGAATGCAACATAAGTTTGCGTTATTTCCTGAGCGGAAATTGTGCAGATCACTTTTGCGGGCGCAGAGCAAAACACAACAAGGATATCAGGCGTGGGGCGTGGGCGTAAAGGGGTGTAGGGAAGGGCACGAGCAAATGTAGCTGCATTTGCTGAGCTGGCAGTCAGCATGGCGTGTGTGTGTGTGTGTGCATCTCAAATATTTGCAGTTTATTTATAAATCAGTGTAATAACAAGCCATCTGTCTATCTATCCCTGCTGTCTGTTGACTGTCAAACAACACAGACATACATACTCTCTCACACACACACACTCTCTCTGTTGCACACACATACAGCCAACTTGCTAGCCAATGCAGCGGGTGCACGAGGGCAAAAGCCTTTTGAGCCAAATCCTGGTGTCCGGCCTTCGGGGTTTTTACGGCCAAAGCCAAACGGGAAGTTGTGTTAAAAAACATTTTCCATTTACCAATTTTATTGGCAGTGTAAGTCGCCATGCCACGCCCCAAGCCGCCCATGTCATGTGTGTGCGCAACATATAAATAAATAAAAGTTCCTGTCGAATTTTCTTTAGCCGGACTTCCAGTTTGGGCCAAAGGCAAACAAACTGCAGCTTCTTATTGTTGCAGTAGTTGTTCTCATTGTTGCTGCAGCAGTTGTTGTCGCTGTTGCAGTTGTTGCTGTTGCTGTTGCTGTTGCTGCTGTTGCTCTCTGCATTGTCGCTGCGTGTGAGATTCTGTTGTGCAAACACTTTTCGCTGACGCCTGACAACAACATAAAAATAAACACACACACACAAGAAAGCAAGAAAAAAAGGCAACTTAAAAAGGAGCAAAGCAAAAGGAAAGGAGATGAACTAGTTTACGATTTCATTATTAGTTTGAACAACGACAAGGACAACGCCAGGGGACAGCAAAGGACACGCGGATACACCGTCGCAAGTCGCATGACTCGCAACTTATTGAAAAACTTGCTGCGGCGTCAAAACAAAAACAAAAACCAACCGAAAAAGAAAACAATAACAAATAAATGCAACTGCAGCAAGTTATTAAAAAACAGACAGCCGCAATTGCAGCTAGTGCGGCCATAAACTCATTTCGGTTCAGGTTGGACCTATATACTTTAGGGTGGCCCATAATTGTAGCAAAGTTGCATTTTTTGTAAACACGTTTAATGAAACCAAACATTTTTTTTATAGATTTGGGGTTCGTTAAGGTAGAAGGATTGTTAATTTTATATAGGAAAGAAAATTTCTTAAATATTTGAAAATTTTTTCGTTCGCCATAACTTTCGCTCAGCCAGTGTCCCGTGTCAACGAACTCCACTTGACAAGGAAGTAAGGCTGAGTAGAATATGTTCAACTGCTTACTTAGTCATGCATGGAACTGCTTTACATATGCACTGCTTGCACGATCACAAGCGAGTACAGTTGCGTTCAACTAGACTCTCATCTATGAATCAGAATTTGTGAAGTTGTTCTGCATTTATATAGGATATGAATTTATTATTAAACTAGTATTTTTTATTTCATAAAATGTTTTCTCCTTTAGATTAAGACTATGAGCGGAATCGTTGTTCTCACTGCTTGCTAGCGCGCCAGGGAGTACAGTTGTGTGCAGAATGTTTTGTGCTGGCTTTGCAAAAAGTTTCGAATGCCAAGCAGGGTTCAACATACACACCTTTTTTCCCTCAATAAAAATTAAAAATATAAAGAGCTTGAAAATCCACATCAAATATAACTCAATTAAAAGTCTCAGTTTCAATTAGTATTTTGAGAATTGTTTTAAACTATTTTGAAGATATTCATGTGCCGCAAGCTAAGTGAAATTTGTGCTCAAAGCAATGAAATCGGCTTAAGCCTCCACTTATGAAAACCAAATTTAAATATAATACGATATGAGTATGCAATATGTTATAGTTCATAAATGCCAAAATATTACAAAAGTGAGCAGCTTTTGTTAATCGCTCACACTCCATATCACTATAGAATAGGGTTTATTTAGAGAGATTTTGTTCATTTTGTTGCATTAAATGGAATTTGAGGGCTTTAAATAAATGCTTTCATAATGCTGCACATTGCATGAGGAATGCCGCTATAATAGAGCCACCATGCCAGAGAGGTTCGGGGCAAAACAGCGAAAATGAGGATGGGCTTGGGGCTTGGGGGGCTGGGGCGATAACTTGGTAGCTGCGTGTGGCATGCAGCGTGGTCCAGTGCAAAGCTTGTGCGCACTTTGGCAACATCGGAAGCTGCCATTGCAACGGAAGTTTGTTTGTAGCATATGCATTTATTAAAAGCATAAATATTGAAATATTAAGCTGTGAGTGGCACAAACAACAGCGGACTCCGTATTCTGTGTGCGTGTGTCTGTCTGCGTGTGTGCGACTGTGTGTGTGTGTGTGTGTGTGTCTGTGTATGTTTCTGTGTGTGTAAATAGTGAGACAGCAGCTACAACTACAAGTTGCAAGTCCTCTACTCGAAGTACTCGCATTTGACTGCTCCTGCAATTTGCACTTCTCCCACACACGAGCTACCTCCCCCCCTCTCACTCGACGCTTATTTGCTTAGCTAAATGCAACTTTTGAGTTGTCAACACAGAATGAGAGGAACACATACACACACGCACACAGAGGCTGGGGCTTTGTTGGTATAAAGCTGGTCAGCATGGTTTGGCAGCTCGAGTACAAGTTGCTATTGAGTTGAGTTTACATATGTGTAATTGCTCGTAGGTTTGTGAATTTAACAACACTACACACTGTAAACAAATAAGTCTAATCGTGGCTTTCATGATAAGTTAACGTGTTCGTACTACTAGCACTGCTAATACAGATTAGCCCCTGTTTCAAAGTCAACCCTATCAAAAACACATCACACATGCAGTTTATAAACATTTCTCAACACTAACTATAGCATTTACTAATTCCTTTCACTCCTATGCAGTACTTTACAACATTGCATGGACACAAGATTGCTCTAATGACAATTACCAACACTTTATTTTACAAATGACATTGCCTGCCTTCCTCGGCAATTAATTAAACCAATTAAAAGCTAACCGAAGAACATTTGCCATAGCCTACCGCGTTATTAACCAACACTCATTGCCTGTGTGGCATTTATCAATACTACTGACTGCTTTACTGCTCCACGCTGCACTCGGCAAATGTAAATAGCTTAAATCTGAAAATGTTGCCCATACTGTGTGCTGTTTGGCGATGCCCAACACTGTGCAGGACACAATCCACTTACGCGGGTATTGTCTTATTTTGACCCAACTCGCTGGCACGCACTCAAACAACGCCTTGTTTCGACCCCGGTCACAATATGCAAACAACAAACAAACAAGCCAACGAGCGGCCCAAGGCATCTGCATCTGGAAATCGTAACCGTGTTGTGTCTGGCCGAAACAACAATTGGAGAACACAGCTAACAACACTGGCTGCCGTATACCTTCCCATATCGGAGGCACAAATTGTTGCGTGGCAAAATATTTGATTTCATTTCAAACGCAATGGATTGTCGAGCTTACATTTTGTTACCAGCTCGTTCGGGTGTCGGGAGCCGAGCAAATCTCAGCCATGGGGCAAACGTAACGCTTAGCTTCTGGGAAGTGCTGAGTGCCTTCAGCTAGTAAATTCCGCACGTGTCGCACAAGAGTTTGATAAAGAGAGCAAAGGAGAGAGCAAGAGAGAGCTAGCAGCAGCTGCAGCAGTTAGCCTTCTATTTGAACAATAGCCGTGTATACGTCTGTGTCTGTGTGTGTGTGTGCGTGCGTGTGTGAGAGCGGGTTCTGTCGTAGCGTTAAAAGTTGCCACCCTGCGGGGTGGTCGATTGGGGGCTACGTGGAGCTTGGACGTGTGCACTTTAAATTGCTTAGAAAAATCAATCTCGTCAAAGTTTTCAGAAAGAGCTGCAAGCGACGTCATCGCCACTTATGTGGAATTTTCTAAAGCTTCGCCAGCAAAGTTAACGAGCCAGCAAACTGTGTGTGCCTGTGTGTGTGTGTGTGAGTGTGTGTGTGCGTGTGGCACTTGTTGTGCCCAAGTATTGTTGCTGCTGCTTATTGGTAACGTCTTTGTTTGGACTTTCATTCATTTTGTAGTTCTTTTGTGCTTTCACAATGCATCAATAAAATGAAATCGAACTAAATTCAACGTGTAATTTCTCTAGCTGCAGCAAGCACAACTGTACCTGAGTATGACACATGACAAAAAGCTGTTCGCTTTGATTACTTCAAGGGACATTTGCTGGCAAAAATCTATATATCCAACTCGGCGGAACAATATTGCATGCATATCATAAGTATATTGTTGAAAGCGTTTTATTTTGTATTATATATATTTTATTTTATTTATGTTTGCCATTCTAGTCATTCGAAATGTTGTGCATTCCATTGAAAATGTTAGCATGCATGAATACGATTTTAGCTTGTTTCTAAGGGCAGTAGGTATTATGGGATAGGTGTAGTCTTTTCTAAGGGCTTAGCAGATTGTCGGTCTCTCTCCTTTTCTTTCCCTCTCTCTCTTTCCCCTCTCTTTCATAGTGCAACATTTTAAAGCTTGCGTATTTCTATAAATTCTTTGGAATATTCTAGTTTCTATCATTGCTAAGAGTTCACATTTCGTTAAATATAAGCAAAGGAGATTTAAAACTATTTGCAAAGTTTGTAGTACATTTGAATGACGCATTCTTAGCTTGAAAAACTCGCATCATTTGTGTGTCAAATTTAGCATCTTCACCCTTTTCTCTTATCAGCGCTTCGGGTGTATTAAGTGCAGTAGTAGACACGGGTTTTTAAGCATAGCTTGAAAATTCTAAGAGCTATTTACACCTAATTCGGTTTAAAGGAACCTCCATAATCTTCGAAATTATAGGGAGCCCATTTTGAAAGATAGAGCTCTGCGCTTTTGTATACACAAACATTCGTTGGCATATTTTTTTGAAAATTGTATAGTATGTTCTAGTTATTGCAAGGCCTAAATATTTCTTGAAGAAATATATTGTGGTTTTTTTCTGTCTGCCAATTCATTTAAGAGCGGAGGCAATTGTTAAAGTGGGGCTAGGACGTAAGGCGTTAAACAGTCAAGTTACTTACCATAAGTTTTAATTGTAACGCTTGTCTGGAGTATTTCGGTATTTGCATATGAAGCCGTACAATAATATTGGCCGCCCATTTCGCTGGAGAGCGAGCTAATCATCAGGCCCAAACTTTCGCCGGGCAGCGTCTCCGTGTACATCGGTGGATGGTTGCGTCCCGTTCTGCATGTGTGAGCGTTGGATAGTTGACAGGTGCGGGAGTTGGCGGGTTGGGGAGAAATGAAAGAGATTGTTTCGTATTATTAGTACAGGATAATATGCAAATTGTTGTTGTATATAATCTTTATGCTTATGATTATAATAATTGTTATGAGCATTGTCGTTGTTAGTAGATTGCTTTTGTTGTTCGTTTTCTTCCATTGCATTTCTTTCGCTGCTTCTCTCTTCTCATTTGCATGCCACGCATTTCATTTCCCATATTTTTTTTTTCTTTCTTTTTTTCTTTGCCATAACAATTACAGAAAATTAAAAGAAAATTGCGTTTCGGAGCGTAGTGTTAATGCGACTGGGCTATTTTTTTTTTCTTCGCAGGGTTAAGCAACAGTTTTCGAGGGTGGGTTGAGTGTGCAGGAAGTAATTGCCCTGAGGGCAATACCCAAAAAGTATTTTGGCCAGTTTTAATATTCGCTCAAAGTTTCATATATAATTACACAATACTTCAGATGTTGCAGCAGTTGCAGGCTGAAGTCCTCTGTCTAGGGTTGCCAACATATGTTTAACTTCAACTTTTTTAAAACAATTAAATATTGCTGTGTTTTACGAAGTATAACTGTGAAAAACAATTAAGCTAAAAGGTCCAGAAAAATAAGTTTGTATTTGTGTTGACAACTCTAGATAGTTCTCTTAAAGTCCCTTCGTTAGTGTTCTACTGGGAAATATTTTGTCAAACACTTCGAAAATAATGCAAATTTGCCTTTTCACTAAGTTAAGCTATCTTCAAATTGAAAGGTATTCAATCAAAGTTTCATCTTCCAAAGTAAAGCACGCAAAAACTGTTTACCCAGGGTTGCCAACATGCTTGTGGCTGAAGTGTAAACAGTTTGGTTACCTAGAAACCCCAATAATAGCTATTTTAAATCAGTTAAAATGGGCGAGGAAATTAATTTTATTTGCGGTCTAGAACAGTCTGGGCACTCTGCCAAACAACAGCAAAAAAAAAAAAAACGGCCAACTGTTGCAACTCTGAACTGTGCAACTCTATCAATTAAGTGCATAGACTGTTTTCAGACAAACTGTTATCCCAAATTAAGCAGCCAGACTTGAGAACTTCAAACGTTTCGCAACAAATAATTTGCACAAATTTTGGCAATTAGCGCTGCCTGCCAGTTGCCTGGCAACTCTGGCCAAATAATATGTGCATGTGCGACAAACAATTTGCCATTGCCATACGCGCAGGCGTTGCGCATTAAAACTTTTCGCCGGCTTGTGCGCTATTTGCTTTGTTTGCCAATTGGCATTTGGCATGAAATCGCGCCAGCCACAAAAAAAAAAAAAAAAACGAAAGATATAAAATACTTCTCAACCAAAAAAAGAGAGTAAAAATTGCCAAAAACTGGGAAAATACTCGTACATAACTATTGCTTACTGCTGTGCGGCGAAGGGCGGGGGAGGTAGAAAAGGCACGTACTAATTAATTAAAAAACTTTTGTTGCGCAAAACTAAATATGCATAGCGGTTATTATTATGGCTTCACTTTGTAAGCCTAGCCAACCCCCGAACAAACTCCTTTTCCAAAACCGAAGCAATAAAAAAAATAAAAATAATAGGGAACAGAAAAACTTTCGAGCCAAACGTAAATGAACAGTTTCTGGCTAAGGCAAAAGTTTGTCGAACGGAACGTGTTATATGCCATAACCAAAGAGCGGTAACGACTAAAAATTGAAGACTTACAAATAGCGAGCAGTGTGTGGCAAGTAACGAGTAATGAACAATGCGTGTTGTGAAACGAGTTAGTCTCTCAGGACTAACAAGTGCTAGCCAACAACTATCGAAAAAATATACCAACTAACGAGTGACGTGCAACGAATCTTAGGATCAACGAATGCTAGCTATCGTTTAACTGCTACGAGTAACGACTGACGAGCAATGTGTAACGTGTAACGAATCTTCCTATCAGGACGTACGAGCATTAGCTAGCGACTCACAAGAAATGAGTAATCTGCAACGAGTACTATGTACAGAATAAATCGCTCAGGTTTGTATCTATCTTGATAAAAATTAGATTCGTCCAACGAGTAACGAGTCTCTCAGGCTTATTGTGTGTCTTGCTGATGTTCATGTATCGGAGTTTGATTCGAAAAGCGCTCGGCCTAAAATTGTTGTTCTGTAAGATATATCGTCTGCAAGGGTATACAAATTCGTCATTGGCATCAAAAAGACAATGAAGTAGTTAAATAAACAGATTTTGGGCTTAAACTTCAGGTGTAGACTTAAAGCCATGAGGCACATAGCGGCACGAGGGATACGAAACTTAAAACTGTGCAAGTTGCAATTGATTTCACATATGAGTGTGAGAGAGTTTGTGTGTGTGTGTGTGTGTGTGTGTGGGTGTATGTTTGTGTGAGTGTGGATGTGTATTTTATGAACTTTGTGATATTGAACGCAACCTGCGTTCGAATTGTAAATCGCGATTGTTGCCCAAATGCAAAAAAGAAATGCTATATGTTTGCCTTAACCACACTGACACACGCACACATAATCCCACACACACACATACAACTCACACACACACACATAAAACTCACACACACGCAAAACTCGCTGCGATGCCCAAAAATTATGCTAGCAAAAGTCCTCAACGACAATAAAAAAAAAAAAAAAAAATAACAAGCAAGAAAATTTAACAAAAAATTTAAGAAAAACAAAAAAAATATATATATATTGAATAAAAATAAGAAAAACTGTGAAAAACAAAATGGCAACCGCATCGTATCGCAACGCAACGCACACAAGGAAAGACATTGTGGGAAAAATTGTGCTGCATATTTGCGTTGGATTTTTAATATTGCGCCGAACGTCGCACACAGACCAAGAAAACTGGAGAGAACTGGGGCCTGGTCGCGGGCTGTGGGGGGTTAGGGGAGGTGGTTCGGGCAAACAAACAAGAGCGAAAACAGTTACGCATACGTAAAAATCAAATTTTTGATTGTCTCCAGAGCCATTGAAGTTGGGTCGAGGGGTGGGTTGATCGGGGCTAGGGGGTTGCGAGGCAGTCGACATTTTGGCGCCTGGGGACAACAGGCCACGACAATTTTTTATTGCATTTCTTTGGCTTAGATGCGAATAAAGATGTCGTTATTGTTGCTCAACCCTCCTTGCCCCCTTCTACTTGTTGTTGTTGTTGTTGAATGCACAATGAGCCAAACATGTAGCTGAGGCAGTGGGTGACTTGAGGGGAGGGTTTTTGTAAGGGTTGCCAAGTTGTTAAGACGCTTAAAGTCATGTTCAAGTCAAGTGCAGCAATTTGGCCAAAAGATGTCTTTGCGCAAAAGCTTCGGCGAACAAAAGATATCCAAACACACAATTAAGATTGAGAAAATACAGATTGTCTGAGCGAGAAAGAGGGAGACAGAACGAGGGCAACAGAAGGAGAGAGGAAGAGAAAGAGAGAGAGAGAGGGAGAGGATTAAGGAGTTTTGGCAATAAATCGAAACTAGTTAAAATTGAATCGGATTTATTTAATTATCAACATAGGATACAAATTAAAAGCAACTATATTACGGACTATCACAGATTTTGTCTTAAGCAATACCCTTCGAGCCCGCATTCTCGTTAGACTGTGCCCCTTGAACGACTCGTCCACGTTTTGTATAATAAACGCCAGTAAAGTATTTTGAAAAGTACTTCATTTATGACCCTAAGATAACCCTAAGATATTACGAACATTCTTCCATTGTACATTTAAGCACAAGCACAGCGCATTCGAACCCTGAACCACTCTGTTAAGTTTCTCATCTGCCATCCAGTGCAGCTTTTACTCATCATTTGGAATAGAGTTCAAAATATCGTATTGCTCTAATTTGTAAATAGCTTAGCTTAGTTATATTTGGTAAATAGCCCCACAGCTTACACAGGCAGGTAAGCCAGGAATTCGATTCCAGTTCCATTTTTTTAAGGTATTCTTTAATTTTGCTACCTAAACTCAAAGAAAAGTACAAATAAAATTGTATATTTCTATATGATAATATGAATAAATAGATCTCAAATATATAAACCAGCTAAAGAATGTATTCCCTCGAGGTCAGTTAGACAGACTGAGAGAGAGAGAGAAATTCAGCCTTCCATTTGCTATTTTATAGTTGTGCCTTTGCCCAACGTTATGATATCCTGTTTCGTACACATATTTATGGCTAAAGGGCAGTTAAAATTCAAATAGAAGTCAGCATGGCTGCATATATGCACAACGGCCAGTGCAAACGGCCAAATGACCAAGTTAAGCGGCGACGCGTTGCCAGCCACAAAACTATTGCCAACTTAATCGCTTTAATTAACTCGAGGCTGGTGGCTGCAGGCTGGAGGTTGGAGGCTGGAGGCGAACGGCCAAACGGGCAATGGCCGGCAGTCACGGTCACGGCTGAAAAACTAACATTTGGGGCCTCGAACTTGGCACTGGCATGCGGCGGTATCCTAGCTGCTGGGTGCGCGCAGAGAAGGGAGGAGGTGTGCTGGGAGAGAGAGAGAGAGAGAGAGAGAGAGAGAGAGAGAGAGAGAGAGAGAGAGAGAGAGAGAGAGAGAGAGAGAGAGAGAGACAGAGAGAGAGGAGGGGATGTTTCGGTTTCGGCTTTTCGGGTGTTGTTTTTGGGTTGGTGCCCGGTTTGGCAGCTTAATTACATTTTGCGCCTGCAAGTATGCAACGCGTTGCCAGCCTGTCGAAAACTTCATTTCGAATCCAAAAACCCTGCCCATCACAGCCACGCATTGCGTATTGTGTGGGCGTGACCTGAACCACGCCCCACGCCCTACGCCCCACGACTCGCAGTGCAAACGCAAAGCAATTCGCGTAGCGCACATAACAAGTCGGTCAGGCAGAGTGTTGTTCTAGCAGGGGGCACGTCGTGTTGGCCATATTTACTGCCAGCATTGCCAGGCATTTGGTTTTTGTTGCAGATTTCTGCTGGGAAAAATTCAATATGGCCGCCCAGTTGATGCGTGAGCCTAAAATGTGGCCATTGCCGCGACTCTGCAGCAAAATTGAAAAGCTGCCAAGCTCAATAACAAGTTTGTGTGTGCCTGTGTGTGTGTATGTGTGTGTGTGTGAGTGTTGGGGTGTTGGCTCTCAGTATGTTCATTTATCGGTCAGACCGAGGTCAAAGGTTGATCTCAATCTAATCTAAGTACAATAGCCTAGTTCCCACTGCGCTAAATGTGCAGCCAGATAGCCCACGATCCTGCCTAGTAGTATATTTACACGGCCTGGGATATTGGTCAAGGTTTTTGTCGAGTTTGGAATCAGCCCTTGCAAACGTAGGCTTGAATTTACTTAGAAAAGCAGTTCAGACGAGTGTTTGCCTAAACTGGGTTTTCCCATTTGCTAGGGCTGCCAGTTTGCCATGTGCTGGCGTTGCCACTTATTCGATTTTGTGTTCATTTCATCCCTGGCTTTGATTTGATTTTGTGCTAATTGCATTTCGAAAGATTTTTCTGATTTCTTTTTGCCCAGAACTTTTGCTGGTTCAACTGAAATGCTTGAAGTCATATCTGAAAACAGATTGGAGTTGCTCAGCTAAGTTATTTCAGGCCTGAGTCGCTCAGATGAAAACTCAGCTGAGAACTCAGAGCGAGCATAGGCTATTTTCTCCAGGAAAGTTCCTACTTAGTAAAGTTATACTGTATTACAATGAATATTACATAACTTTAAAAAAAGGTTTACCACTTAAATGCAAAGCAAATAAATTTTAATCGAAAGCATGTTTCCTTGTCGTAGACACATTTGGGCAAGCTTCATTTATGTACATTTTTCGTATCATGTTTCGGCCTAACAGCGAGACATTGTATAATTTTAGGTGCGGGCGTATCAAATTTAATGTGACAGAAGTAAAAAAAATATGCCCACAAAATTCAGGTTAATTGGCACGCAATAGTTGAATGCCATCAGAGATAAAAGGGCAACAGAAACAGGGAGATAGAGAGAGAGAGAGAGGGAGAGAGTGAGAGAAGAGAGAGTGGGGCAGAGCAATCTGTGAGACGATTCCCTAACAGCAGGCTCCAAAGGGCCCTTGGCGTTGTCTGCACTGTTTAAGCCCTGCCCTGCTTAGCTCTGCACCTACTGGGGTGCATTTCCCTTGGGCAAATTAATTAACACGATTTTCATTTTCGGCCAGGCCGAGTTCTCGAAACACGCCGCAAAATTGTCTGATTTTGATTTAAGCAATTGGGAAATCTTTTGCATTCAAGTGATTTTGCCTGCAATGGATTTTTTTTTGCACTTTTTATTATTATTTTTGCACTGATTGCAATTTGCTTTCGTCCATTTTTTCCGCCTGAAAATCAGTTGGGCGAAGTGGTTTGGGGTTAGCTTTTTAATTAACATTTTTTTCAGCTGCCTGCTAAAAAGTTTGGTGCTTTGATAGCTGAATAGGAATTTGGAGTTTGATGCAAATATACTGAGCTGTTTTAACGATCCAGCAGCCCCGTTAGAAAACAGATCGAGTTAAGTTGGCTGCGCTTGACTGTGAAGTTGGCCGCAGCTGAGCATGCCTGGGCTTGTTAAGTTGGCTTCAGCAAAAATAACTTGAGCAGTTGTGTTTCTGCGCGCCTGCTTATTTTAATCGTTTGTATATATATATATGCTTGAGCAGAATGATGTTGGCTGCACTTGACTATTTCCTGAGTATGTTAAGTTAAGTGCACCCTTAGCAGCTCATGGGCGGCACATTAAGCCAGATTCACTTAGTGTGTTTAGCTAGCAGCTCTTTTCGAGCATGCCCGTTAACTGTGTCATGAGCATATTTTGGTTGGCCGCACCTAAGCGAATTCTTTGTATGTTAAATTGCTTGCATTTCCGCTTTTATCAAGCGCATTAAGTTAGCTGCGCTCGACAATGCCACGAATATGTTAAGTTGGCAGCGCTTAAACATGTTGAGTTCATTCTGCTTTAATGGCGTTAAGTTTTCTTAAGCACATTATGCTGCGCTCTATAGCATTCCTTAAGCACCTGAATTGCAGCTGCAATTTTAAGTCTATTCTTGTCTGTAACTCTGTAAATGAATTCATGAGATGCCATGGCATAAGGTAGCTGCATTAAATGTTTGCACATAAGCATGTGCTCAAGTTCTCTGCTTGATTTTAAGCTCTTGTCAAAGTTACTTTCATGCGTACAACAAACATTCAAATAATGACACTGAGGCATGGAGTATTGCCAGCATTTGATACATCTGACTTGTGTTGTACTTGTGAATGGGTTATGAAACTAAGCTGTCGATGGAGTTGGTTAGTAGACAACAACTAAATATTTAATTGATAAGGTTGATAGGATTGATATGATTATGTGGCATATAACAGCAGCTATTCAATTAGTTCGCTTTTCAATGATATAACATGAAGGAGTTTTATGTTTTTGGATGGGTTTTGTTTTATGTTGTTGTTTTTTCTATGTGGATGCTACGTTAGGGCCTACGCATATTTGCCGATCAATCAATAATAATAATAATTAAAAAAAGAAGCAAACATTAACACAAAAGAGTTAAAAACAAAATAAACATTGAAAATACTTTTATATACATGCCGGCAAACAAAACAACTGAGCGAGTGGGGGATAGGAGCGGGCACGTGCTCGTTATTCAAACAGAATAGGAATTTACGAATATACGAATACGAATACGAATACGAATACGAATATGCGACTATTTGTTGCTGTTATTCGAGCTACGCAAACGTAACGAATTTTTAGTTGCATTTTTATTGTTGTTGTTGCGGTTGTTGTTGTTGTTGTTGCTGTTGTTGCTATTGTTGCTATTGTTTTTGTTGTCGGCACTTACACATTCTTTTTATTTCCCTTGGAATCATATAGTGGATCATAATTGCTCCTACAGAAGAATAACATGTGGTGTGTGAGTGTGTATGTGTGTGTTTATGTGTGTTTTTGGAGTACACAAAATTATAGAAAATAAGTAAAAGTGCTCTAGTCGGTAGTGCCCGACTAGGGGATACCCTGAACCTAGCTGACCTCTTTACATAGTTACAAACAAAAACAGGAATGAATGTGTCAAATTGGGACATGATGCTGCTTCCTTGCAAAATTTGAATGGGAAATGATAATCGGATTTTCAAGACTTTTCAGATCTTAAATATGTCTTTTATGTATGTGTGTGTATATACCAAAGCGCAGGGCTCTTTTCTGTTTCCCTTTATTTCCCGAACGGAGGCAGATATCCCAAAAGTCAAATATTTCGAATTAGTATATCCTTTACGAGCACCTACATGTACATCTAGCTCTTATATGCCAAAATCAATATTTATCGATCTTACGAAAAAAATGATGAATTCAGATGAATTCAGCGCGACGCATCGATCAGGAATATGTATATACATATATACTTTATGGGGTCGGACTTGCGTTCTTCTGGCAGTTGCATTTCCTTAGGTTCAGGGTATAAACACACACACACACATTTAAAGTGTTATGTGCTATGTTTAGATTATATATATAAAAGTTAAGTGTACAGTGAGTGCAAATAATTGTTGCACACTTACGGCTTGGGCAAAATGGTATTATTCATATTGTCCTTCCATTGCAGATCGGTGACCAGTGTCTGATCTGGCACAGTTGGGCGACAGGTCAATATGAGGGGCTTGCCCACGGGCTTCCTTTGCACCTCCTGTTTAGGATAGATTTCCAGCTTGGGCTGCTGCTGAGCGCTGCTTAACTCTGTAAACAGAAGGGTAAGCGAAAGAGAGGGGAGATTAGTTTGGGTAACGAATCTTGGTATGCTCTTTGGCTGAGAGCTCATGTTAAAATAACTTTTAAATGTTAAATTTTAATATTCATATATCAATTACATCATATTTTTTTTATGCACGTGCGTGTGTGTGTTTTGCCTGTGTGTGTTGGAGTAATTCAAATTTAAATTAATTTTAATTGCCACTGTGGCACATGTGGCACATGGCCGTTGCATGCGCTGCATGCGTGGCAGGCGTGGCAGGCATTTCGCCCATCTGCAAACAGACAACAGGCTTATTATGCACTGCAGGTGGATTGTTGGGGTTGCGTTTCTGTGTGTAAATTATTAATTAAAGTATGCCTTGCTATACCTACTATTAAATGTAATTCTATGAAATTTTATACAAAATGTATTCAATTGTTAAAAAATGCATATTGTTCTATCATTATTACACGATTTTTTTATGAAATATACAATTATTTTTTTGTGCATCTCAAATGCACATAATTATCGAAGGCAGCAGTAAGAGTTATTTATCAGCAAATATAGAATATTTAATTAAAAAAGTTAGTTAGCAGTTCTGAGGTACAATTCCATCAATAAACAATCCGTTTTTACGGTCCAGCTCATATACCTAATTAAATGAACACATATTAGAGCCTCTACAAAAGCATTTGAATGCATATTACTAAGCATAATCCAAACTTCATCGATAGAAATGCGATTCGGTTTATACCCGACAGCATACAATAGAACTAAACATTTCATTTGCTAGGACCAGGCGTGTGCTTGGACTTTAAACACAAAGGTTGAAGTTATTGTACACCTGTTCGGCATGTTGTATGCATTATATTTAAATAGTTATGTAAGGGCAGTGCGGGCAACTAAGGTCAGAAGATGGACAGCCATATTTGGTTTTGATTTGAATTCAATGCCAATATTTGCACGTGGCGAGATAATTCGGAAGACTGATTGCATTGTTTTGCTTTGGTTTTGACTCAACCACATACCCAAACATTTACACAGATAACATTTATTCAAATGACACAGACAACGATATATTATCGATTCAAATTTAATGATTACCAACACCGCATTTTCGTCTGTCTTCCAATTCTCAAATGGCAACAACTTGCTTTTGTTATTTTCCCATAATGCAAACCTGTCCGCAATGTCGTATGCATTATATTGAAATAATTCTGCAGAGGTAAGATGCAGTGTCCATTGACCAAGCGGACTACGAGGACAACAATATTAAGTCTCGATTTGAATGCAATGCTAACAATTCAATTCAATTAAATAACTTAACATTTCCTTGGATAATTATGTAACATTGATATTTTATTAAGAATTGATGCACAAATCGAAAAGTTATCAATCAAAATTAAGCGATTGCCAGCACTATATTCCGCTTGCCTTCTAATTCTCAAACGGTAACAACTTTCGTTTGATTAGCTTTTTGCCGCTGTCTCGGTAAAATAACTAAAACTTCGTGTGCACAGTGAGCGCTAAAAAAGTTGCTTGCTAGTTTTTTCTCCTTGTTTGTTTTTCTTAGCTTTGGGCTAATTGCGGTCAATTAAACGCTTTGTTCCCGGGGTCAGACAATAAAATAACCCAGAAGGCTTGAAGAGTTGAAGTTGAAGTGCAGAACTTTAAAACGAGAACTTTTTGCAGCTGCTGTTGCCTGGTTGTTGTTGTTGTTGTTGCTGTCATTTTCATTATCATTTTCATTTTCATGAGCATTACAATTAAATGTCTTGGCTATTTGTTTGACACTTTATTGGAGCAAGTGCCGCCGACCGACAGTCGCCGGTCGCCAGTCGCTGTCTCGGTGCCAGCTTCCAGCTGAAGTCATCTCATTAAGCGCCAGCCAAGTGGCTGCCTTTGTTGTCGGGGGCGCAGGTTGGGAGTGGTGGATAGGGGGGGGGGGGGGGGTGTGTGTGTGTGTGTGTGTGTGTGTGTGGGTCATGTGGGTACAGCCTGCGGTTAATGTGCGGCACTTAAGAGCGAAATTTATGTACAACGGTCAGTGGCAAAAGCCTGTAGGGGCAGCCCAGGGCTGGGTGCTGAAGGGGCGATTTGGTTAGCTGTAGCCCATCTGTTCATCTGGGCAGCTAAGCAGCCGCTGATGCGGCACAGTCATGTGGCACGCTTGCAAGGCGCCCAGCGCATTTATCTTGCAACTTTATAGCTGCTGCACGCTTCCTTTCGGCCCCCTCGCCCTCTGGCCCACTGACCGCCTGGCAAGCTTGCTTCGTGCATTTCCGCTGGAGCAGCAATAGCATCTGTTGTGCGGCCGAAAGGGAGAATCATATGGAAAAGAGCTACCAAAAATTAAAACACGGAACAGATTCTCACTGCACACTCGAGTGCATTATTCATTTAATGTAAATGAGTGCACAACATTTAAACACCCCCCCACACACACACACAAACACAGACGCACGGGCGTGGGCCACTTTGCTACGCATTTCCCTCTGCTGCTGCTTTTTTTTCCTTTTTATTTTTTTGGCATACCCTTGGCACAGGGTATACTAAGCCTATGAATCCAACTGCTTGGCATTATCACAGTTTCTCAGTCTGAATGATATAGATACATATGTATGGTATACATGTCCAGCATAGTATAGCCCAGATTTTTACAAATTATTCTTCTAAATCAGTTTAGCTAGAAAATTAGAACTGCGAACCCTTAAAAAAGAAGTCGCTGGTTCAGTTAACGGCTTGAGCCCATTTCCAGCTTCAGTTTTGCCTTCAGTCTTGCTCACATATTGTCAAAATGTTACTAGAACACTATCGATTGCAAGCAAAAACTTAGCTCTGGCTACTGGAAGGGTATTAACTGTGCGATTTTTGAGTTAATAGCTGATTCGAGTTGGTTTCATTGTTGTTGGTTTTATTTTTTATATAGTTTTTATATGTTTTTCAAGTTTTTTATGGTCTTTGTGTTGTTGATGCTGGGGAGCATGAATAAATTGTGGTCTATGGCATTAAACTGAGCGCTGAATGCCAAAAAGCAGCGTCAAGTGGCTCGCAAAATTAAATGTGAGAAATTTATATGCAACGCTGCCTCCTTTCCATGCAATTAAAGCATGCTGCAAAATGCCACCAGCAACAACAATAACAACAACAACATCAATAAGAATGCGGGTAGAGACATCTATCAACAGCTCAACGAACCCTGAATACCCTGCTTAAGCTCCGCATGTCAAAAGAATAGAATAGAAGAAAGTGGAATTGGAAGAAGAGTAGAAGGGCAAGACAGTAACGAATAAGGTGCAAGAGCATAAGGAAGAAAAGCCAAGAGAGTAACGTAGAAAGAGCAAAAGAATTATAGAAAAAGTGAAAGGGTTAACCAATTAGCGCATGAGAGTAAAAAGGGAAATGCAAGAGAGAGAGAGAGAGAGAGAGAAGAAAGGGGAATTGGTAAGAAATTAAATGAAAAGCGCAAGAGGGTCAAGGAAGAAAGGCCAAGCTACTAATGTAGAAAAGGCCAAGAGAGTAAAGTGAAGATAAAATCGCATAAAAATTGGAGAGAGAGAGAGAGAGAGAGAGAGAGAGAGAGAGGGAGGGAGAGAAAGGGTAGATATACTAATCTAAATCTAATAGAATAATTACCGTAGAGTCTAGCGAGACGAACTTAAGTTTCACACAGCTTAATTAACAGAAATGCACAGCTCTGTACGTGGTGTTAACTAAATAAGTAGTTAACGCTGCTTAGCTCGAGTGGACTGCCGAGCGCTGAGGTCACTTGAGCTGCCACTTAGCTAATATGCTAGGCTGTGAAGTGCCAAAGTCGCGATTCTAGAAACACTCGGCGACGGCTGTTGCACCGGGCGTATGCTTAATTTATATTTATTTTATTTTAAATGCATGCTGCATAAATAAAGAGCGAGCAAAAGATAAAGTGTGTATGTGTGTGTGTGTGTGTGTGTGTGCGTGGATGTATAATGTGCGTGTGTGGGCGATGTATGTGTGTGTGCGTGTGTGGGCGCTGTATGTGTGTGTTTGCTGTGGGCGGTTTTTCCGGCGCCGCATAAATAAACAAGCGGTAAAGAATTATCGCCTGCAGACGCAGGCGATATGGCAACGCTGCCCTGCCAGTGCACAAAAGCGACGCACAGAGCGACGGAGAGAGACGAGCCAGGGGTGGTTGGGGCAGGGACAAAAGCGAGGCACTCATTTGGCCATATGGAATCTCCTTGACGTCCTTTTGCCATGAAATGCATGGGCTCATGCACAGAAATTATTGTTGAAAAACAATTAACAATTGCACATTAAAAGCGATTAAAAATATAATGTAAAATAAAATAACGAAGTACAAAATGTGCAAATTAACGCGCACAACCACGCACACACACACACACCCACACACGCACACATCTTTAAGCTTTAAGTGGCGCACATTTTTTAGTTTTTACTATTTTTTTCAATTTTTTTTTGCTATCATTTTTATAACCGTAAAAAAGTTAAAATTAATATTTTTGTTTGCGCCAAAAAGTTTCTGCTGCGCACCACCAAAAATGTTGATTTATGTAATCCCACCACTAAAGCAGGCTCCGCCAGCTTTCCACCTACCTTCTCGCCCCGCCTGCAGCAACTGTGCGTGGCCGGGCAAAAAGTTAGTTTTGAATTATGGCACAAAAATGGTAACCGAAAAATGCGTAAAAAGCGTCTGGCAAATATTGTGCAGCCATATTGAGCGAGCAGGCGTATCACCAATACCAGTACCCCCCTCCCACCACGCCCTGCGCCGCCAGGCCGAGCTGTGTGTATGTTAGTCTGGTAGCAAGACGTGCTCGAGTGGCATGCCACGCCTGCTAATGGGCGGTTGGTCTAAAAATATGAATGTCTGAGCGGTGGCCTTTAAATTTAGGCCCTGCCAGCGCCCACAACCCAGCCACCTTCCAGCACTTGTGTGCGGTGTCAGATCAAACGGTTGCCGGCGTTGCCAGATTGTCAGCCAAGTGCCGATCAAGAACTATTT